AAGTTGCTCTCCGGTTTTGTGATGAAACAAAGGTGTGGTTGAATTTATTCTGCCACTGTGTCTCGTTATTGGTCTATATATCACAGTGTCAAGGCATATGAACTAACAGGTTATAGAGCAAACAACGCAATTATCACAACCCACGCACCAATGGTGTTTACCCTCTACTACCTCCATTAAGTCAGTATTAGCCAATTGTCTGGGAGGAAAAATAAATCCCATTGCAAAGTAATGCTTTTTAGCCTATTCATTGATGGAAATACCAGTCGACTGGTCATGCTTATCGGTCTATAGGTTAATTATTTATCACAACCAGTGGTATAATGTACTTAAAGTAGTACTTTAAAGTATTTTTACTTAAGTCATTTTTGGGGTATCTGTACTTTATTTATATTTGACTACTTTTACTTCACTACATTCCTAAAGAAAATAATGTACTTTTAACTCCATACATTTTCCCTGACACCCAAAAGCACTTGTTACATTTTGAATGCTTAGCAGGACAGGAAAATGGTCTAATTCACACACTTATCAAGAGAACATCCCTGGTCATCTACTGCCTCTGATCTGGTGGACTCACTAAACACAAATGTTTTGTTTGTAAATTGTGTTGGAGTGTGCCCCTGGTTATCCGTAAATACATTTTAGAAAATTGAAAATCGTGCCGTCTGGTTTGCTTAATACAAGGAATTTGAAATGATTTACACCTTTACTTTTTATACTTAAGTATACACTGAGTGTACAAAACATTATGAACACCTGCTCTTTCCATGACATAGACTGACCAGGTGAATCCAGGTGAAAGCTATGATCCCTTATTAAAGTAATTTGTTAAATTAACTTCAAATCAGTGTAGATGATGGGGAGGAGACAGGTTAAAGAAGGATTTTTAAAGTCTTGAGCTAATTGAGACATGGATTGTGTATGTGTGCCATTCAGAGGGTGAATGGGCAAGACAAAATATTTAAGTGCCTTTGAACGGGGTATGGTAGTAGGTGCCAGGCGAACCGGTTTGTGTCAAACCCAGTAGCGTTGCAGTTATTTTCACGCTCAACAGTTTCCTGTGTGTATCAAGAATGGTCCACCACCCAAAGGACATCCAGCCAACTTGACACAACTGAGGGACGCATTGGAGTCAACATGGGCCAGCATCCCTGTGGAACGCTTTCGACACCTTGTAGAGTCCATGCCCTCGATAAATTGAGGCTGTTCTGAGGGGGAAAAGGGGGGGGGGGGGGGGGGGGGGGGGGGGGGGGGGGGGGGGGGTGCAACCAATGTTCCCAAAAAATATTAGGCACTGAGAAATGTCAGGTCTGCTGAGCATAAATTCTGTGCAACTTCCAGCGCACGTTTGCTGTGAACACTGAGGCAGTACCCCCTTTAAGTTCCAGTTTTAACATTGGCCCAGTAGGCTACTGTGGCTATTTGATCATAATGTAGGCCTACCAGAGTGGACTACCATCAAAAACTAATGGAGAAAATGCATCCCATAACATTTTTTAACATGGAAATAGCTGTTCTATCATTCAGGCCTACAGTAGCAGCCAATGTGTGGTGTTCAATGTAGGCCTACATTCCATGAGACGTTTGAAAAAAACATGCAGGGCTTGGCATTAACCTGTTTATCCACTTGTCCTTCAGACAAGGAGGTGACTGAAAATGTTGTTGTGTTGTTTGATGCAAGAAACCATTTTACAAAATAAAATGCATTATGATACTCATACCATTATTACAGAGATTCAGACAAATTATGCTACCTTCTGCCTATTGGCTACTTAGCTTATTCAAGCCTGTCTTAAAATACAACACTGCCCTTTTAAGAAAAAAAAAGAACCTCTTTACCTGACTCGTTTTTCAAAGAGGTCTAGAAATGTACACGTTTTGTGCTCTTGTAGGAAGCAAATCAGTCCTCTATTGCTGACTACAAATGATCTATAACTGGGCTAATAACTCACTAACTAGCAAAGGATATGAACAAATGTGCACACGTGGCTACATGCAGCTCTCACTTTGACTCAAAACAAGCACATCTACTCACGACCGCTCATGCTGTAAACACAGTCCAGTTCAAAGTAAACGGCACAGATCCATATATGGCAATGGTCTATTTGCATATAGGCCTACTGCAGCTCTGATTGGTTATGCCGCATCAGTCTGTGTAGAGTAGGGCTGAGTAGTGCTTGTCAATGCAATAGAATCCTACTCCGATGTGTTCTGCCTACAACAAAATGTCTTGGATAGTTTGTTTTGTTTCGATATGTTGCATTGAAAGTGGCTAATATTGCGTTGATTCAATCACAATTGCCACAGTAAAGGGAAAACGTTGATAGTGTTAACAGTGATCCTCTGTAGCTCAGCTGGTAGAGCATGGCGCTTGTAACGCCAGGGTAGTGGGTTCAATCCCCGGGACCACCCATACGTAAAAATGTATGCACAATTGACTGTAAGTCGCTTTGGATAAAAGCGTCTGCTAAATGGCATATTATATTATAACAGCGAAAACTCTAGAACAATGGTCACCAACCTTTTATGAGTCAAGATCACTTTCTGAGTCTAAATGCAAGCCGAGATCTACCGCTCACATTTTCTTTTAACAGGACGTAATCCTATGCAACATGAACCAATTAAAAACAGTTCTGTAGCAATGAGGTTTGGCAAGTAAGCTATAGGTCCAGTACATTATCACCGCATATTGGCTTTGCTTGAATTGTTTGGGCCATTTGAGGTACACTATATGATCACACCAGTAATAGATCCGTTGTTGTATTACTTGTGAAGTACAGCCGAGTGAGCAGACATTTAAATCGCTTTTTATTTTTATTTTACTGGGCTGATGGTGCCTGTATCTGATGGTCAGTCTCAGCGGAGGGAGAGGGCAGCAGACTGAGGGTCCGCCTCTCAGCGTCCCTCCGCTCTCCCTTTCCTCCACTGACACTGACCAAAAAGGGACACCGTCTTCCAGCTGGCGAAACTCGAGTTCCACCGCATGATTTCTGCCTCATGCACAAATTCATGTTGTTACTTCTATAAACAGAGAAAGTGAAATATTTTCCTCTATATAAAAAAAGACCCAAGCTGCTAATAATAACAACACAAGCCTATATATACACTTTCCTACTCATTCATTACTGCTGCAGTGCTTTGTTATAGCGCTGAGTGGAAATAGGAGGAACGCACATTTTATGGCTTATAAAAAAGTGTTACAAGTGCCGAGTAAGAACTTAAACATGAACTCAGTCATAAAAAAAAGCAGCTCTTTCCTGTATTCGTTGACAGTCTCTCTCTAGTCATGGTTTTAAACGTTTTGAAATCTCACAGTATCAACTTTTCTGTAGCTTTCTTATGATTATTTATTTATTTCTGTTATGATTATTTATTTATTTCTGTTATGATTATTTATTTATTTATTTTATGACCGCTACGTTACTGCAGACAGGGTAGTCCGAGCCATCCGATTGGCCAGCGGTAGGCCTATAGCGCACTTTATTTGCTCTCTGGGCTCGCCGGGAAGGACGAGTTTGTACCTTCAGACACATGAAATGGTTGAAAATGGCAACAGTTCCCCTACCCGGTGCGCAGGGCAGCTGAATCGGGTGCACCAGACGCCAACAGCCTAAGACAAACTAAAAAAAATAGGAACACAAGGCTCTATCGTTGGGTTTTTACAGAAATGTTTGGAGATCGACTAGGAATGCCTTGGAGATCGACCAGTAGATCGTGACCGACCGGTTGGTGACCACTGCTCTAGAAGGTTGAGTGAAGTTCAATCTCGTGCTTCTCTCTGTGAGCTGATATTTCTGCGAGGCAGTCCCGGGGAGCTGCTCGGAAGTCTCAGGGCTACTGCGCACCAGCGAGCAGCTTACAGGGAACATTGGGTGCAACTCAATATTAGGAAAGTGTTCCTAATGTTTGGTATACTCAGTCTATATAAAACACAGGAAAATCTTGTTTGACTGCACTGGGCCTTTAAGATTGAATTGCCATAGTTTCAATGGGATTTCTGTCATTCTGAGCACCGTGGGTGGATGCCCTAATCAGGTTATGCACCCAATGCAGGTCAAATTCTCAAATGTCCAGTAAATTAAAATGCTGCAAGTCAAATGTCCAGTAAATTAAAAGTAAAGAGTCTTCTCTTTTCAGCAGGAGTCATTGCTTTTTCCAATCTGTGTTTTCCCACAATTTTATTTGAAATATTGCGAAAGGCCTGTTTTGTCTGTGTGCTGTTTTTTCACTGACAGATTTGCTGCGCGTCCCCGACTGTAGGCTATTCCTTGTTATTGGGATACAATCCACAGCTAGGTTATTTTAAAAAGAGAAGCTATTGATCCTCTGTGGCTAAATTATAGGCCTTCTCATGGTGTAGTAGGCTATTCTGAACGATTTCATTTATTTCTGAACAGACAGCAGTAATTCTGTAACTTTGGCAAATGTATTTCAATGTATCAGGGGTTCTGCAGTTCCTTCAGAACCCTTCGCGCGGCTATGATTCTATAAGGAAATAAATGATGAAGCGCAACGCTGGAGAGAGGAGAGTTGCCGGCTCATGTCTATCAGAGCAGAGAGGGAGAGAGAGATCATAGAAAGTGATTCTCATTCTAGTTATGTGAGAGATACTGGCGTGCGCTTCTCACACGGCCACGGCCACGCGTATGCACAAACCATAAACCCGGGCCGGCCCAACCCGAATCAACTCCTAGAATATTAGGCCCTGGCTGAAAATCTACTTTTTCACATTACCTTTTTTGGTGGGGGGCAGGAGAATTAATGAAGAGGCAACTCTAATTAACGTTGATCGCTTTTATTCGAATTTTTACATTGCAAAAAGTGAAAATAATTTTTCATTTCATGAGACGTACCGGATACGGTCAAATATGTTCCGGAACTAAACAGTCCAAAACGGCGAGGTGACTCATCCTGTTAAGCAATGGTTAGGGCCAAGGGGAAGGGGTATGAAGTGAATTGGGACTGGCTGAGAAAAAACGTCATAACAGAGTTATTACCTTGAGGCCAGTGAGTGTGTTGAAATCAGGTAGGGCCACATGACGATCCTCCATCTTCCTCCGAGTGTTCCTGATGGCGTGGGCGGAGCACATGAGGAAACGGGAGGGACCTACTGGGAGGGGGGCGGGGAGAGTCTGGTGCCAAGCCACACCCACCTCCTGAAGCTTATTGAGAAACAGCCGCTGGATGGGCTCTGATTGGAGCACTGTGGAGGAGAGGGGAGGGGCCAAAGGAAATGTAATTTCAGTTAGGTCTCTGATAGTCCAGATGAGAATGTTGTTTGAACATATCGTAGGACACATATTCAAGCCTTTCAGCCTTACACAAGTGTCTAGGGGTCAATTGGTATTGGGAGATGAAACCCCAGGGGTTAAAGAGGTGGTCACTGGACACACACACAGTGATGGAATTTAAGGATTTTGGGCACCGGCCAGCTGGGCTAGTAGACTGCAATTTAGTATTTTACTGCGTGACTTTCACTTTTACTTGAGTCATTGTCTATTAAGGTGTCTTTACTTTTACTCAAGTATGAAAATTGGGTACTTTTTCCACCACTGTTCACATACACACACACACACACACACACACACACACACACACACACACACACACACACACACACACACACACACACACACACACACACACACACACACAGGAGTGGACACTCCGCTGGACACAGGTGGTCTGAATCATAGATGACATTAGTCCGAACTCACAAACGACTTCCTGTTCCTCTCCTTGCTGCTGTTCAGCTTCCTGGGGGAGGTGGAAAGGTGAAAGGTCAGCCTTCAGCAGCTTAGCCAAGGCTGCATGGCACATGGCTGCACTCAGTGGTGATGGAGCATTCCTGCATGAGAGGACAGAGGGTCCTTATGAGTGAACGCCATAGAGAATGATAGAGGCCTCTAGTGGCCAAAAGGCCTTATTAGCATGGGCAGCGCCATTGAGGGCTGTTACCATTTGAATGTAGTCAAATGAGTGGGACTTCCGACTTCATTGGCTGATCCCTCCTGGTCACCCTTTAGAGTCAAGTCCAACCAGGTCATCAGGAGGGATCAGCCAATCGTGAAGAAGAAAATAGACTACTTCAAAATGGAGATAGGCAGCACCATTGAGGCTATGCTGTCACAGACGCTATAATGACACAGATACAAAGATGAGTCCTCTATCTATCTATCTATCTCTCTCTCTCTCTATGGTGAACACACACAGACCAAATTGAAACACAGCTGAACAGCACACATCTGTTATGTCTCTGTACGAGATTAGAGTTCTGCCAGGGTGGAACAGGGGACTGCGACACGCACAGGGGGAAAACAGGAAGTGGGTAGAACAATAGTGATTCTACAGACAGGAAATTAGGTCATACGAACAGGAAGTGCCTCAGAGTAAGAAGAAGAACACAGAAGACAGAAGGAAAAGAGGACATGCTAGAACTTCTCTGAATCTCGGACATTTGTTGTTTTCAATACTACCGCTTTTGATAACAATTTACTTGACACCCAGCATCATAACCACATGTCATAATATGTCATAACAGCTGACATAACTTGTCATAATATGGTCATAACGCTGTCATGACACACATATTTAGACCTGTTGTGACATATGTTATGTTATTTTATAGCTGGTTATATAATAACCTATATAAGAGGGTCAAACCCACATTTATTCAAATGTATTTTTTCCAAGAAGTTTCCTTTAGTTTGAAAGTTTGTTTCCTAAGTCCTTTGTTGTTGTTGTAATGAATTATTTACAGTCATGTTTTCTTCATCATATTTTAAATAACTTGCAGAAAATACACTTTATCACACTGTCATGAAGCATTATGACCCTCCTGCGTCACTTCTCTTGGACTAACGCTTTGAACACACCGACTGCGTCATCGCGCAAAATAGTACGCAGCGTCGTCTAGACGTGTGTGCAACAAAAGTTCAACATTCACCTTGCGCGACCATTTCTGTCAAGCCGTCTACGCATACAGTTTGACGCATACGTTCGATAAATCCACCGTGTGCACCACACAGAACGCACTGCAGCTGCCTCTGCAACGCAATGCTGCAAGGCTAACGCAGCGTTCCATTGGAAATGAATGTACTTCTGGTGTACCAAAACGCAATGACGCAGTCGGTGTGTTCAAAGCGTAAGAAAATACACTTTATGACACTGTCAAGAAGCATTATGACCACATTATCATATAAGCCAGATAGGTCTATCATGTACATGACCTTAAATCAGTCATCAGTCAAAAAGAGGGTGTCTTGTCCTGCTCCTGAAATCTGCTCCTGCATTCATCCCAGTCATCAGCAACAGAGCATTGGGGTAGCTGCATGTCTGTTTGTGCACATTTACCATGATAACTTAATATGGTCAATTTTAACATACTGTTGACAAGCAGACTATGGTGTAATGGAATGTTTTGCCTTGTGTGGTAGGTTTTGGTGGGTTTTGACACTTATATAGGTGTCATAACCCAGCCATAAAACAATGCAATCTATGTCACAACAGGTCTAAATATGTGGTATCATGACAGTGTTATGACCATATTATGACCGGTTATGACAAGTTATGTCAGCTGTTATGACATATTATGACATGGTTATGACCGTGTCATAACGTGTTATGACGCTGGGTGTCAAGTAAAGTGTTACCCAGCTGGGTAATTATCCCTGAAGTGTGTTCAGAGGCAGTTTACAGCTCTCCCTGTGTCTGTCTGTCTGTCTGTCTGTCTCTGTCTGTCTTTCTCCCTCTCCTCTCTCCTCCCCTCTCTCTGTGATAGGCAGTGTAACAGCCCTGTAACTCAGCCCTCTACTCACGCAGGGTGTAATGAACAGGGCAGGATACAGATATGGGAGGATCAGCTCGCTGCTGCACAACAGGAATTTAAAGAATGCGGTCTGCAAGCAGCACCATCAACACCACCGGGGTCATGTTCATTAAGGCAAACCGAAACAAAACATTTTTCAACAGAAAATGAAAACCAAGTGGTTCTTATTGGACCAGGTAGTCCTGTCCCACATACACAGTGATGAGAAATCATAGGCCCAGGTCCATGCCGTCTCCCCTCAACTTGTCCACACACACACACACACACACACACACACACACACACACACACACCTGGTGTTGAGCAGCCGTAGGCCCAGGTCCATGCTGTCTCCCCTCAATTTGTCCACACACACACACACCTGGTGTTGAGCAGCCGTAGGCCCAGGTCCATGCTGTCTCCCCTCAACTTGTCTACACACACACACACACACACACACACCTGGTGTTGAGCAGCCGTAGGCCCAGGTCCATGCTGTTTCCCCTCAACTTGTCTACACACACACACACACACACACCTGGTGTTGAGCAGCCGTAGGCCCAGGTCCATGCTGTCTCCCCTCAACTTGTCTACACACACACACACACACACACACACCTGGTGTTGAGCAGCCGTAGGCCCAGGTCCAGGCTCTCTCCTCTCAGTTCGTCCAGGCTGACCTTCCTGCTGAGGGGGCTGAGAGGCAGGGGGTCTTCAGAACCCAGCGGAGCAGGGAACTCCTCCAGGAACCTCCTCAGGAACCCCCGCACCACCTCCTCCTCCATGACACCACCCATACCTGTACTTGGAACACACACACACAGCATACCTTTCAGGGGTTGGAACCGGTTCAGGGAAAGGAACCGAAAAATAACGACATTTCCTGAGGAATGGAAACAGAACAGAAACAGAAAACAGAAACAGAAGTTCCAGTAGTTAGCTACACCGCTACATGGCAAAACAGTAGTGTGTAGTTCCAGTAGTTAGCTACACCGCTACATGGTAAAACAGTAGTGTGTAGTTCCAGTAGTTAGCTACAACCGCTACATGGTAAAACAGTAGTGTGTAGTTCCAGTAGTTAGCTACACCGCTACATGGTAAAACAGTAGTGTGTAGTTCCAGTAGTTAGCTACACCGCTACATGGTAAAACAGTAGTGTGTAGTTCCAGTAGTTAGCTACACCGCTACATGGTAAAACAGTAGTGTGTAGTTCCAGTAGTTAGCTCACACACAGCTACATGGTAAAACAGTAGTGTGTAGTTCAGTAGTTAGCTACACGACATTAAACAAATAGCTACACCGCTACATGGTAAAACAGTAGTGTGTAGTTCCAGTAGTTAGCTACACGCTACATGTAAACAAGGTATCACAGCTACACTACGGTAAAACAGTAGTGTAGTTCCAGTAGTTAGCTACACCGCTACATGGTAAAACAGTAGTGTGTAGTTCCAGTAGTTAGCTACAAACACCGCTACATGGTAAAACAGTAGTGTGTAGTTGCAGTAGTTAGCTACACCGCTACATGGTAAAACAGTAGTGTGTAGTTCCAGTAGTTAGCTACAAAACCGCTACATGGTAAAACAGTAGTGTGTAGTTGCAGTAGTTAGCTACACCGCTACATGGTAAAACAGTAGTGTGTAGTTCCAGTAGTTAGCTACACCGCTACATGGTAAAACAGTAGTGTGTAGTTCCAGTAGTTAGCTAACACCGCTACATGGTAAAACAGTAGTGTGTAGTTCCAGTAGTTAGCTACACCGCTACATGGTAAAACAGTAGTGTGTAGTTCCAGTAGTTAGCTACACCGCTACATGGTAAAACAGTAGTGTGTAGTTCCAGTAGTTAGCTAACACCGCTACATGGTAAAACATAGTGTGTAGTTCCAGTAGTTAGCTAACACCGCTACATGGTAAACAGTAGTGTGTAGTTCCAGTAGTTAGCTACACACGCTACATGGTAAAACAGTAGTGTGTAGTTCCAGTAGTTAGCTACACCGCTACATGGTAAAACAGTAGTGTGTAGTTCCATAGGTTAGCTACAAACAACCGCTACATGGTAAAACAGTAGTGTGTAGTTCCAGTAGTTAGCTACACCGCTACATGGTAAACAGTAGTGTGTAGTTCCAGTAGTTAGCTACAACCGCTACATGGTAAAACAGTAGTGTGTAGTTCCAGTAGTTAGCTACACCGCTACATGGTAAAACATAGTGTGTAGTTCAGTAGTTAGCTAACCCTAATGTAAACAGAGTGGATCAGAGTACTACACCGCTACATGGTAAAACAGTAGTGTGTAGTTCCAGTAGTTAGCTACACCGCTACATGGTAAAACAGTAGTGTGTAGTTCCAGTAGTTAGCTACACCGCTACATGGTAAAACAGTAGTGTGTAGTTCCAGTAGTTAGCTACACACGCTACATGGTAAACAGTAGTGGTAGTTCCAGTAGTTAGCTACAACCGCTACATGGTAAAACAGTAGTGTGTAGTTCCAGTAGTTAGCTACCACCCTACATGGTAAACAGTAGTGTGTATTCCAGTAGTTAGCTACACACGCTACATGGTAAAACAGTGTGTAGTTCCAGTAGTTAGTCAAACCGCTACATGGTAAACAGTAGTGTGTATTCCAGTAGTTGCTCACACCGCTACATGTAAACAGTAGTGTGTAGTTCCAGTAGTTAGTACACCGTACATGGTAAACAGTTGTTAGTTCCAGTAGTTAGCTACAACACCTACATGGTAACAGTAGTGGTGTTCAGTAGTTAGCTACACCGCTACATGGTAAACGTATGTTTAGTGTTGACATACAACACCCTACATGGAAAATATGTGTATTCAGTAGTTAGTACCAACGCTACATGGCAAAACATTTATTAACTACTGGAAACACTACCTGGATTTGAATTGAGTTGAACTACCACCAAGCTACTGCAAAATGTGTTAAATTACTAGTTGAACAATATGTAGTTCACTACTCCCCAACACTCGTAAACAACTATCTTACCCGTTCCACAGCAAGCTGCTCTATCGGCGCTAATTGGAGAGTAAATTAAAGAGCTAAATGTAAAATGATGTTGATTTCACAGGTTAAAAAAATTTACGGAAATAAACTATATGAACCATTACTTTTTGGGGGTTGAACCGGTTCAGAACTTTCTTTTCTTGTCGGAACGAAAAAAGAAAAAAAAATAGTGGTTCTGCTCAGAATTATTGAAAAATGATTTGTACCATTAGGTTTTATTATTGTAACAAACCGATTCCCGATCTCCCAAGGGAGATCGCTTACTTGGAGCAGCGGTAACGTGTGCATCTCTGGACCTTAGGGTCACAAGTTTGAGGGTCGCCTTGGAAACTTGGGATATGAAAAATATATACTAAAACATTGTTATTTTCCTAACACACATGTGTGTAACAGGACAAATAAAAGCACCCCCCAAATTATTATTTATTTATTTTTACCTTCAGGATAAGTGTCAGAGGTCAGTTAAAGGTCAAACAGGTGCAGTGAGTGGTCCCCACGATAACCAGAGGCCCGGCATCCACCCCGTCTGTCTGTGTGTTCGTCTGTCCTTTTGTCTGTTTGTCTCTCGGTCCGTCAGTGAGACTCACAGGTCCAACTTCTATGAGGGACAAAACAATAATACAGCTCAATATTATTCCTGTCACACCATTACCCCTGCTATAGCCCAATAATGGACCAAAGGAGTCTAATGTTACACCTTATAGTCCAAGGGCCTTACATGTTCTGTTTAGAGGGAAGCCAAAAACAGCCAAATACTCCATCTAAACGTGAATCGATTCTCAATTGCGCTACGATTCTAAAAACATAAAGTCCTTTACTTTCATGTCACACCAAAATAATTCCACAAATGCAAAATATACACCTACTGTACACTGTTTTAACCAGTTTTAACACAGTTGCAGCCGACAGTAATTTTCAGTGACAACACGTCTTCCGTTTACACACAGATGTTTGGAGACGCAGATTGCTAACTAGCAGAGGTATGCCTCGGTCTTCCATCACTGCAACATGTAACTATGGCCATGTGGGTTTCAACCACAAAAACCAGGGAGGTTTTCCAATGCATATTGGTACTTATTGGGTAAAAAAGAAAAAGCTGAAGAAAAAAAAACCCACATTGAATATCCCTTTGAGCATGGTGGATATTAATTACACTTTGGATGGTGTATCAATAAACCCAGTCACTACAAAGATGCAGGCGTCCTTCCTAACTCAGTTGCCGGAGAGGAAGGAAACCTCTCACGGATTTCACCAATGGTGACTTTGTTGTTAGAATTCTTCTCCCACTTTGACTGAGTATTTTGTGTAGATCATTGACAAAATAAATTACAAATCCATTTTAATCCCACTTTGTAACACAATGTGGAAAAACTAAGGGGGTGTGAATACTTTCTGAAGGCACTGTAACCTTTATACTTTTTGAAAATTATTTCTCATTGATATGAAAGATCCGTTCCTTATGTTTCCAAAACCATACCACAAACGATGCATTTGAAATGTTCAGAACGAGCGTCTGGACTGTTAACAAATCTCCCACGGCCAGAAGGCAGCGCGTAAAAATCGTCTGTCCTCGGTTGCAACACTCACTACCGGGTTCCAAACTGCCTCTGGAAGCAACGTCAGCCCAAGAACTGTTCGTCTGGAGCTTCATGAAATTAGTTTCCATAGCCGAGCAGCCGCATACAAGCTTAAGATCACCATGTGCAATGCCAAGCGTCGGCTGGAATGGTGTAAAGCTCGCTGCCATTAGACTCTGGAGGAGTGGAAACACGCTTCACCATCTGGCAGTCCGACGGACAAATCTGGGTTTTGAGGATGCCAGGAGGACGCTACCTGCCCCAATGCATAGTGCCAACTGTAAAGTCTGGTGGAGGAGGAATAATGGTCTGGGGCTGTTTTTCATGCTTCAGGCTAGGCCCCTTTGTTACAGTGAAGGGAAATCTTAACGCTACAGCATACAATGACATTCTAGATGATTCTGTGCCTCCAACTTTGTGGCAACTGTTTGGGGAAGGCCCTGTCCTGTTTCAGTATGACAATGCCCCTGTGCACTAAGCAAGGTCCATACAGAAATGGTTTGTCGAGATCAGTGTGGAAGAAATTGACTGGCGTGCACAAAACCCTGACATTAACCCCATCGAACACCTTTGGGATGAATTGGAACGCTGACTGCGAGCCAGGTCTAATCGTCCAACATCAGTGCCCGACCTCACTAATTATCTTGTGACTGAATGAAAGCAAGTCCCGCAGCAATGTTCCAACATCTAGTGGAAAACCTTCCCAGAAGAGTGGAGGCTGTTATAGCAGCAAAGGGGGGGACCAACTCCATATTAATGCCCATGATTTTGAAATGAGATGTTCGACGAGCACGTGTCCACATACTTTTGGTCATGTAGTGTAGCTTCAGCAAGGGGGTAGTGCTCACCTGTGTGTGTGTGTGTGTATCTTAGGATCAGAAATAGGGGAAATGTTGTGCACATGATGTGAATGAATGTGTAATAATGCAATAATGTAACGCAATATGAGGAATAAAATCACTGTTGAGACGTGCGTGTATTTGACAGACTGCTCTGACGGTATAATATATAGCGAATAGGTTTTGCGACTAGGAATGCTAGTCACTAAATGGCCTACAGCCACAGAAACATTGTGAGTCTCCATAAACAAAATGTTTTATTTTATTTCCTGCTTTACAAAAAAGCACAAACTCATTTTCAAGCTACTGTACGACACGATAACATTTCTTACCTTGGACTATCTTCTTCAGGGCACTCCCTTTACTCGCTCGCTATGGGGCTGAACTAGACAACTACACGCCCTTTCAAGACCGACACTAAAAGGGTTTCACGCCATGGAAGTCTTAGAAGAAGTGTGGCGACGTGAAAACTACCCGCTTTGTTCGAAGACTGCGATTACACAGAATCTGCGCATTTCACTGAGTTGTAGATCATGGGCTTGCTTGTAGTGGGCGCAAGCACATTTTGAGATGATCCACTCCGTTCATAGATCTGTGTTTGGCTGCGTAGACACTACGGGAATCTGACGTTCCCGAACACTATACTCAGACCTGCTGAGCGCAGGACAAACCATGGGAGAATGTCAATTGTATCCTCCTTGCGACCTCTCTCTTCGCCTCCTTCTCAAAACCCATTGGAGGAGAAGGTTAGAGGGGCGGGACCCCTGGCTTTGTAATCCAATGGGGTTTGAGAAGGAGAGAGGACACGAGGAGGAAGTAGTTGAGATTCTCCCTCGGCCTTCCTGTGATTGGCATGTCGGATGTCAAATCTGAACAGTATATAGCGTAAATAAAATACTAGCCAGGCTGAACGAAACAGAATTTTAGAAGGCTGGCCAGACGAGACTAATGATAGCCTTGTCAGTCAGAGGCTTTCAGAAAGATTTGCACTTCAGCAAATGTCACACTCCCTCACAAGACACTAACAGTAGCTACGTTTCCATTAACTTGTTCTGTGATTTTTGTGTCGACATTTAGAAAGTTCGCATATAAAATAGATGGGACAATATGACCGCTGTCTTGTGTCGAAAAAACAGCTGGACGTAATGACGTCACACATTAACATATTTTTTTGTTTGTTGCTAAAACCTACTGTCGAATAAAAATGAGGTGGTTGAAGTGTTTCCATTATCCATTTAGTCAAATTGCGCATGAATACATTTACGACAGCCTGTATGTACAGGTCCTAATCCAGGCATTTGTCATCTCCCGTCTGGATTACTGCAACTCGTTGTTGGCTGGGCTCCCTGCCTGTGCCATTAAACCCCTACAATTTATCCAGAACGCTGCAGCCCGTCTGGTGTTCAACCTTCCCAAGTTCTCTCATGTCACCCCGCTCCTCCGCACACTCCACTGGCTTCCAGTTGAGGCTCGCATCTACTACAAAACCATGGCGCTTGCCTATGGAGCTGTGAGGGGAACGGCACCTTACCTTCAGGCTCTGATCAGACCCTACACCCAAACGAGGGCACTGCGTTCATCCACCTCTGGCCTGCTGGCTCCCCTACCTCTGCGGAAGCATAGTTCCCGCTCAGCCCAGTCAAAACTGTTCGCTGCTCTGGCACCCCAATGGTGGAACAAGCTCCCTCACGACGCCAGGACAGCGGAGTCACTGACCACCTTACGGAGACGCTTGAAACCCCACCTATTTAAGGAATACCTGGAATAGTATAAAAGTTATCCTTCTACCCCATCCCCCACCCCCCCATAAATAAAAAAAAGTGGTTGTCCCACTGGCTATCATAAATTGAATGCACTAATTTGTAAGTCGCTCTGGATAAGAGCGTCTGCTAAATGACGTAAATGTAAATCTAAATGTATACCAGGATTCCCCAACTAGCGGCCCCCGGCAGAATTTGGCCCAGGGGTGGTTTAATTTGGCCCAGGGGTGCTTTTATTTGGCCCAGGGGTGGTTTTAGTTGCCCCTCCCCCCAAAGTTTTCTGATTAAAAAAAAAGAAATAGATTGAATTTTCATAGTTGGACATAAGATACTGTATAATTTGGTTTAAAATCAACAGTCCTATATCATGCTGTTTGGTACAGGGCAAAAAAAAAATTCCACAGCTGGCAATTTCAAAATGCATGTAAGTGATAGAACAATGCTTGAAAGTGTTGATTGTTTGAAATATCTGGGTTTGAGGATAGATTTTGAATACATTTTGGAAAGCATATTGATTATATTAGAAAAACAATTAACTATATATACTATATTATTAACTATAACAATGTAACTATACTATACTATATATTGGGTTACTATACATATCTATGAGCGTTCGGTCAGTAACCGAAAGGTCGCTGGTTCGAATCCCCAAGCCCGCAATGTGGAAAAATCTGCCGTTCAGCAAGGCAGTTAACCCCCAACAACAACTGCTCCCTGTGCGCTGATTACGTTGATTAAGACAGCCCCCCGCACCTCTCTGATTCAGAGGGATTGGGTTAAATGCGGAAGACACATTTTCACTTGAATGCATTCAGTTGTGCAACTGACTAGGTATCCCCTTTCCTAGATATCTATCAAAACACAACCAAGACCTTACTTTGCGAATTAGATGTCATTTATAACAATCTTTGCAGATTCATTATTGGATGCCATTTTAAGACATCAAGACTCACACTACTTCTTTCGACAACAGCAGCAATTATAAATTCATGAGATTGTATCTGAAAGATCTTACTCCAAAAGGCCCAATTGACTGGAATAATTTTCCTATAGAGTTAGGGCATTAAAATCACACAGTGAATTTAAGAAACACCTTTTTCAAATGCTAAGAACAAACTGTTTGTGTTTTTAACTAACATAAACATCACCATGTAAAGATATTTGTAATTATGTATGTATTGTGATGGAACATTTTATTGTGTGAAGAGACAGCCTTGAAAATGTTGATCTCGTCTTTCCTTGGTTCCTGCCTGTGCTTGGTAAAGATACGAGGGGGGCGACATGACCCCCTCCTTAGGACCACCTGGCAGAACGCCCAGAATGTTCTATAAATTAAGATAGGAAACGGTGCCAGACACATGCAGGAAACAACCATATGAACTATGCCTATGTAACTTGTCTGTGTAAGCAGTATATGAGCGATCTAACCGGACTGCCTCGAAAACTTTTTCTATGCCGTTAATGTACTTTTTTGAAAATTATTATTATTAGACAGTTGCCAGATTATTCTTGTTACTAAGTATTATTGTTTTTTTGTGACTCTTGAAAACAAGATGGTGGATCTCAAGAGATTTCATCCTTGATCTGAAATAGCCTAATTGAATGGTGAAACTCTGGTAGATCTGAAATAATTGAATGGTGAAACTCCTATAGATCTGAAATAATTTGATGGTGAAACTCCTGTAGATCTGTAATAATTGGATGGTGAAACTTGCATCCAGCCAACCAGAAAAGCAAGGCAAAGCAATTCAGTCATTCTTTAAAGTCAAGAAAATCCTTTGTCCTGCAAAGAAACATTTTTATAGTTGAAAAATAGATTTAGCAAGCAGTAGGCATTTATAATTAAATGTGGAGTGGAGCTTTATTTCACAATAAATAAAAGTTTGACAGAAGAAAAATACACCCAACAGATAAAACTGTTGCCAATCTTTAGAACATTTATCCTATAGATGCAGTTGTAATTTTTTGCGACATTGCTTTTGTCGAATTAACTGGGTCAATGGAAAGCTGCCTACTGGTGAAGATGTATATTATATAAATCAGTCTCTCTCTCCCCAGGCTCACTCTGCTAAGGCAGCTACAATAACAAAGACTCAGAACACACAACGACCAGTTTCCGTTTACAAATTGTTTTATTTACTTCCACATGACAGCATCCTTTATTATAGACGCCATAGCATCACATATTAACCCAGCTTAACATAACGACCCTGATCTACTGCTACACGAAGTACGCTGCCAAGGCAGCCATCTTATCTTTGGGTTTCTTTTCTCTGCGCCCCCTGCCCCTGCCCCGCCCCCCTCGCCGTGCACCCCCGCCACGGGTCATGGAAGGGTGTCTCATGGTGGCGTGTTTGAGTTCCACCAGGTCCTGGAAGACTGGGTCGCAGAACACACAGCCGCTGTGCTGAGTCTCTCCGTCAGGGAGCGGGGAGCGCGTCTTGTTGAAGTCCACCGCTACCAGGGACGCTTCGCACGCCTCACAGCTCTCCTGGGCTACCTGGAGACGGGAAGATGGGAAGACGGGGGGAGGAAGGGAGTGAACACAGCAAGAGGGAAGAAAGAGTGAGAAAGATAAGCGAGAGAACTGTTCAAATAGAATAGAAATAGAATAACAAGCAGTGTGAAAAAATTTAATCATATCAAACTTTATTGGCCACATGAGCCGAATACAACAGGTGCAGACATTACAGTGAAATGCTTACTTACAGCCCTTAACCAACAGTGAATTACTTTTTTTTATAAAAAAGTAAAATAAAACAACAACAAAAAAGTGTGGAGAAAAAAAGAGCAGAAGTAAAATAAAATAACAGTAGGGAGGCTATATATACAGGGGGGTACCGGTACAGAGTCAATGTGCGGGGGCACCGGCTAGTTGAGGTAGTTGAAGTAATATGTACATGTGGGTAGAGTTAAAGTGACTATGCATAAATAATTAACAGAGTAGCAGCAGCGTATCAATGAAAATAACTATAAAGTCCCGTTTCCCCCTACCTGCACTCTGTGTGCGTGCTCAAAGAAGTGGACCATCACGTTGCACCTGTTGCAGGACATCTTCCACTTGGGGCCGGAGGTAGGGTCCAAAACCAGCACCCCGCCCTCACACTCCACACACTGACCAATACCCAGGGAGTTGAGACTGTGCTGGCAGGACGGGTGGGTGCACTCATTACATCCCATACCTGAGAGAGAAGGGTGGGGGATGGAGAGAGGGAGGGAGATGGAGAGAGGGAGGGAGGGGGAGAGAGATGGAGAGGGAGGGAGGGGGCGAGGGGGAGAGATGGCGAGGGAGAAAAACAATGAGGAAAAGTTTACTTCCTGAATTGAAACGGAATTGCCCCCAAACCCTGATCATGACCATCAAAACTATCACTCACCACCCACACCTACATACTCACCACCAACACACACCCTCACACCATTCCCACCCCCACATACCACCCACATACCTACCACCCACACTTACCACCCCCACATACCCACCACCCACACACTCGCCCTCACCTTTCTTCATGTCCCTGAAGGGGGGGTTGCTGAAGCAGTAGGGACAAAGGGGGTAGCTCTTTCCCCTGGATCCAGAGGTCCACAGCACCAGCTCAAACTCATCCAGCGGGCAGCGCAGCTCCTTGTAAAGCTTGATGGCTCCGTTCTGAGGCAGGCTGTACGTCTCATCACACCCAGCACAGTGCAGCCGGCTAGGCTTGGCCTGGTTGAACCAATCAATCAATCATTAGCGTGCAGGATGGGCAGAGTTTGCACTTTTAGGACAATTGGTTCCACTGTACCGGGAAAGTTATATCAAACGCTCCTAAAGTTACACAATGAAACCGACAAGAACACACACACACTGATGCTCCACACACTGATGCTCCACACACACTGATGCTCCACACACACTGATGCTCCACACACACTGATGCTCCACACACACTGATGCTCCACACACACTGATGCTCCACACACACCCATGTGTATCAAGAATGGTCCCCCACATCCAGCCAACTGTGGGAAACATTGGAGTCAACATGGGCCAGCATCCTTGTGGAACACATTCGACACCTTGTAGAGTCCATGCCCCGATGAAGGCTGTTCTGAGGGCAAGGGGGGTGGGTCAATACTCAATATTAGGAAGGTGTTCTTAATGTTTTGTACACTCAGTGTGTATATATAATTTATTCTCTCCTGGATGATGTCATTTGGAAGACTTGTGGAAGTGAATGAAATTCAAAACAAAACACAAGGACGCACACACCGACCGCACACACACCGACCGCACCCACCGACCGCACACACACACAGGAAATCAGATGATGTACAGTGCCTTGCAAAAGTATTCATCCCCCTTGGCGTTTTTCCTATTTTGTTGCATTGCAACCTGTAATTTAAATTGATTTTTATTTGGATTTCATGTAATGGACATACACAAAATAGTCTAAATTGGTGAAGTGAAAATAACTTGTTTCAAAAAAATTATACAAAATAAATAACAGAAAAGTGGTGCATGCATTTGTATTCACCCCCTTTGCTATGAAGACCCTAAATAAGATCTGGTGCAACCAATTACCTTCAGAAGTCACATAATTAGTTAAATAGTGGTCCTCTGTAGCTCAGCTGGTAGAGCACGGCGCTTGTAACGCCAAGGTAGTGGGTTCGATCCCCGGGACCACCCATACACAAAAAAAAAAAATGTATGCACGCACGACTAAGTCGCTTTGGATAAAAGCGTCTGCTAAATGGCATATTATTATTATTATTAAATAAAGTCCACCTGTGTGCAATCTAAGTGTCACATGATCTGTCACATGATCTCAGTATATATACACCTGTTCTGAAAGGCCCCAGAGTCTGCAACACCACTAAGCAAGGGGCACCACCAAGCAAACTGCACCATGAAGACCAAGGAGCTCTCCAAACAGGTCAGGGACAAAGTTGTGGAGAAGTACAGATCAGGGTTGGGTTATAAAAAAATATCAGAAACTTAAAACATCCCACGGAGCACCATTAAATCCATTATTAAAAAATGGAAAGAATATGGCACCACAACAAACCTACCAAGAGAGGGCCGTCCACCAAAACTCACAGACCAGGCAAGGATGGCATTAATCAGAGGCAACAAAGAGACCAAAGATAACCCTGAAGGAGCTGCAAAGCTCCACAGCGGAGATTGGAGTATCTGTCCATAGGACCACTTTAAGCCGTACACCCCACAGAGCTGGGCTTTACTGAAGAGTGGCCAGAAAAAAGCCATTGCTTAAAGAAAAAAATAAGCAAACACGTTTGGTGTTCGCCAAAAGGCATGTGGGAGACTCCCCAAACATATGGAAGAAGGGACTGGTCAGAATTTAAGGAATGATGGATGCCGCTAAATACAGGGAAATTCTTGAGGGAAACCTGTTTCAGTCTTCCAGAGATTTGAGACTGGGACGGAGGTTCACCTTCCAGCAGGACAATGACCTTAAGCATACTACTAAAGCAACACTCGAGTGGTTTAAGGGGAAACATTTAAATCTCTTGGAATGGCCTAGTCAAAGCCCAGACCTCAATCCAATTGAGAATCTGTGGTATGACTTAAAGATTGCTGTACACCAGCGGAACCCATCCAACTTGAAGGAGCTGGAGCAGTTTTGCCTTGAAGAATGGGCAAAAATCCCAGTGGCTAGATGTGCCAAGCTTATAGAGAGACATACCCCAAGAGACTTGCACCTGTAATTGCTGCAAAAGGTGGCTCTACAAAAATTATTTGTCTTATTTCTTGTTTGTTTCACAATAAAAAATATTTTGCATCTTCAAAGTGGTAGGCATATTGTGTAAATCAAATGATACAAACCCCAAAAAAATCTATTTTAATTCCAGGTTGTAAGGCAACAAAATAGGAAAAATGCCAAGGGGGGTGAATACTTTCGCAAGCCACTGTATGCGTACATTGTGGAGGATGTCATTTGGAAGTTACCTCGTAATGAAATGCAGAATCTAATAAAACACAAGGGCTCACACGCACACATTGACATGAGTATTCACCCCCCTGCGTCAATACACGTTAGAATCACCTTTGGCAGCTTTGCATTCCTGGATTGCACAATATTTGCACATTATTCTTTAAAAAAATTATTCAAGCTCTGTCAAGTTGGTCGTTGATCTTTGCTTGACAGCTATTTTTAAGTCTTGCCATAGATTTTCAAGCAGATTTAAGACAAACCCGTAACTCAGGAACATTCAATGTCCTTTTTAAGTCTTGGTTCCAATAGTTTATTTGTTTTTCTAAAGAGATTGTCAGTTTGATTTGCTCTCTGCAAGGTTTTATACGTCTTCCTGATCATATGAACATCCTTTTCTGACTCAAAGAAAATTCCCTCAAGGTTGCTCTGATGTCCAAAATATATAAAATCGAAATGTTGTGATGTAACTTTTAAGTTGCATGTATTTGAAACTCTACGTTGGTCAGTCCAAAAACTACTTTTTAATTCTGACATGGAAATAAATGTATTTCCTGTTACCAAGTCATTCACGGTTTCTATGCCTTTAGTTTTCTATGTGAACCAATTTATCGGTGAATTCTGAAAAGCTATCCAAGGATAAGGTTGTGTTTTTAGGGAGTGATATTGGAATGTTGTAGAATACGTTTCATTTTCTTCCATTTTGTTAGTGTTCTTGACTATGAAGTTGTTCATGTTCTTAGCTTTATCCTTTGAAAATAGACGCGTAAAAATATTCTGGGGATGAGCATGCGCACCTTCAATATGTACCCATTGTTCCTCTTTAGTGCATTTAACAATATAATAATTATATAATTATATAACATAATTAACTATATGTCGCAAGTAAAAGTCTTGGGTAGAGAGTTGATACAATTTCAAGACTGGAAGGTTACAACCACCCTCTTCCTTTTTTATTCTCTGAGTTGTATTTGCCCATACAAAGTCTGTTATGATCGAGTATACTTTTAAAAGAATGTCTTCTGTGGGGTAATTGGTATTACCGAAAATAAATACCAAAGCTTTGGCAGCCATGGTTTATTCGACCTGTAAGATTTATGGGAAGATTATTCCATTTCATTAGATCTGCTTTCATATTGGTGAGTAATGGGATGAAGTTATCTTTATATATTTGTTGTCACTTATTACGCATCCTAAGTATTATAAAAATAGTTGATGTTGGCACAAAATGGAGGGAGAGTTGGAGCATAACTAACGAAATAACTAAATTACAGTTAACGAAAATGTACGCTTAATCCAGTATAAACTCATGTATAGAAATAAATTATTATACAAGAGACAAAATTCACAAAAATTCTACAGCACAACGGCAGAGTCATGTCTTAAGTGTAAAACGAATAATGACTCAATAATCAACGCTTTCTGGGAATGCTATAAAGTCCGGAATTTGTGGGCGGGGCTAAAGTTGGCTGTTAGAAGTATTACATTTACATTTTAGTCATTTAGCAGACGCTCTTATCCAGAGCGACTTACAGTTAGTACAATGTATTTTAAATCAGTCTGTCTGCATATTTTAAGACATGGCACATGGGGGTGTAGTGAGATACCCAATGGGCTGGACGATTCTCTTCTCATCACTCAACTTGAAAAAAAAACATACTAAAATCGTGGAAATCAATCAATCCGCCATCATTAACACAATGGAAAAATCGAATGATTTAGTATTGAAATATTGAAATATTTGCCCCAAACATAACACTTTGTGTTCAGGACATAAAGTTAATTTCTTTGCCACATTTTTTGCAGTTGCATGTTTTGGAATATTTTTATTCTGTACAGGCTTCCTTCTTTTCACTCTGTCACTTAGGATTGTATTGTGGAGTAACTACAATGTTGTCGATCCATCCTCAGTTTTCTCCTATCACAGCCATTAAACGTTGTAACTCTTTTAAAGTCACCATTGGCCTCATGGTGAAATCCCTGAGCATTTTCCTTCCTCTCTGGCAACTGAGTTAGGAAGGACGCTTGTATCTTTGTAGTGACTAGGTGTATTGATACACCATCCAAAGTGTAATTAATAACTTCACCATGCTTAAAGGGATATTCAATGTCTGCTTTTTTAATGTTTAGCCATCTACCAATAGGTGCCCTTCTTTGTGAAGCATTGAAAAACCTCCCTGGTCTTTGTGGTTGAATCTGTGCTTGAAATTCACTGCTCGACTGAGGGACCTACAGATAATTGTATGTGTGGGGTACAGAGATGAGGTAGTCATTAAAAAAAGAATGTTAAACAATATTAATGCACACAGAGTCCATGCAACTTATTATGTGACTTGTTAAGCACATTTTTACCCCTGAACTAATTTAGGCTTGCCATAATAAAGGGGTTGAATATTTATTGACTCAAGACATTCCAGCTTTTCATTTTTAATATATTTCAAAAAATATATATAAAAACATAATTCCACTTTGACATTTTGGGGTATTCTGTGTAGATCAGTGACACAAAATCTAAATTGAATCAATTTTTAATTCAGGCTGTAACACAACAAAATCTAGACAAAGTCAAGGGGTGTGAAGACTTTCTGAAGGCTGTAAATGTATATGGTGTGTTATCGTCCATACATCAGATAGGTGCAGTGAAATGTGTTGTTTTACAGGGTCAGCCATAGTAGTACGGCGCCCCTGGTTACCTCCTGGCTTTCTTCATCAGTCAAATCAGCCACACGTGTCTTTCTGTCTCTCCCTCTGTCCTTCTCTGCCTCTACCCCTCTATATAATAATAATAATAATAATAATAATAATAATAATAATAATAATATGCCATTTAGCAGACGCTTTTATCCAAAGAGACTTACAGTCATGTGTGCATAAATTTTTACGTATGGGTGGTCCCGGGGATCGAACCCACTACCCTGGCGTTACAAGCGCCATGCTCTACCAATTGAGCTACAGAGGACTTTATCTCTATCAGAGGACTCTATCTTGCTCTCTTGTGCTCCGTCTCCCTCCGTCTCCCCCACGTCACTAGACCGGTACACGCCCCACTGGAATCACACCGTCCCATAGCAACATGCAGACACAATTAGATCCGGTTTCTGTTCATCAGCCACCAAACGGAAAAGAAAACAGACTAGAACATGGGCGGGACTAGCTGGACTCGGTCCAATAGGAAAACAGACTAGAACATGGGCGGGACTAGCTGGACTCGGTCCAATATGAAAACAGACTAGAACATGGGCGGGACTAGCTGGACTCGGTCCAATAGGAAAACAGACTAGAACATGGGCGGGACTAGCTGGACTCGGTCCAATATGAAAACGCTCCTTTCTCAGTTTTCTGTTGCAAAACATTTGGTAACAATGCTCCGTAATGAACAGGAAGGACCCTGATGAATAATACATGCTTCCATGACTTCCACAGTTGAAGTGGCTTCGTTCATAAAAAAATAAAACATAAAAACTTTTCCGGTCCCTCTCCGCGGACCGAAGGCCGCAGCTCGGCCACCAAACCGGTAGAAGGGGGAACGGATGCTTGCTGGCCGTGCGTCAGAGGGCCTAGTGCCTTCCCGTAGAGGAGAGTGGGGTAACTTGAGCCACCCTTGTTTCTAGGGAAACCATATACAAAAATTTACCATTTGACCAAATATTTAGGAAGAGGTCAACTTTTCACGGAGTCTGTGAAGGAAGAAACCACATGGAAAAAGTGGTAAGAAAGCAAGGTTAAAATAAAAACGGATTTTCACCAAAGTCAAATGAATTTATTGTGTTTGAGGTTTTCATGATGCTTGTATCTAAACCAAAGAAGATATTTTATTTATTTATTGTTATGTACATCAGTTGGGGGCTCTATAAGCGTCAATATGAGGTCCTAAACCTAGCATGAAAGTGCATCATTGTAGCTGTGTTGGCTAATATAGTCAACATGTTTGTCTTGGGGTAAGTTGAGCCAATCGTTGCAAGGCATTATCGCTGGGATAACAGGGCCTTGTTAAGCGTAAAAAAAAAAAAAAATGTGTTTGTTAGGTGTTCAGAGATGACTAAAAGACAAAAAAAAAAGCGAAGTAAAGATAGAATTTTTTTTTCAAAAAGGTAGTGGTAAAATGTCATTCAGTACAGAAATGTGTAGGAGGCTTAACCTACCCTGGTCCTGCAGCTCAACATGTATCTTATATAACCCATATCCTGTGTAAGTAGTGAGAGAGAACACTTTCTTTTGGAAAAGTCATTTTCAAGACTGTTATGTTTATGTTTACATGAATTCTGATTATTTCCAGGGATACACAATATCCTGAAATATCTTTGTTAGAAATAATACTATACTTCCCTTGACGGAGTGATGATGAATGTAAACAATTGCTCAGCTTACCTCCCTCTACCCACCTCCCTCTACCCACCTCACTCTACCCACCTCACCGCTAAACTACCCACCTCCCTCGACCCCCGCCTCCCTCTAACCCACCTCCATCTAACCCACCTCCCCTACCAACCTCCCTCTACCCAACCTCCCTCTACCCCCCGCTACCCCCTCCCCGCTACCCAACCTCCTCTACCCCACTCCCTCCTACCCAACCTCACTCTACCCACCTCCCCTACCTACCCCCCTTCCCCTCTACCCACCTCACGCTAACCCCCGCCCTCACTTACCCACCTCACTCTACCCACCTCACTACTCTACCCACCTCACTCTACCCACCTCCCTACCCACCTCACTCTCCCACCTCCCCTCTACACCTACCCACCTCCACCCACCTCCCTCTACCACTCACCTACCACTCACTCTACCACCCCCTTAACCTCCCACCTCCCTCTACCACTCCTCTACCCACCCCCTCTAAACCCACCTCCTCTAACCTACCTCACTCCCACCTCACCTACCCACCTCACTCTACCACCTACACTCACTCTACCCACCTCACTTAACCCACCCACTCTACCACCTCACTCTACTACACCTCACCCCCCCTACCCACCTCCCTCTAACCCACCTCACTCTCACCCACCTCACTCTACCCCCCCTCCACTACCCACCTCCTCTACCCACCTCCCTCTACCCCCTCCCTCTCCCACCTCCTCTACCCACCTCCCTCTACCACCTCCCTCTACCCACCCCCCTTACCCCCTCACTCTACCACCTCACTCTACCCCACCTCCTCTACCTCCTCTACCCACCTCACTCTACCCACCTCACTCTACCCACCTCACTCTACCCACCTCACTCTACCCACCTCACTCTACCCACCTCACTCTACCCACCTCACTCTACCCTACCACCAAAGTGTGTGTGGCAGTCATCTAATTTTGCCACTTGCCTTTTCGTTGTTGAAGGCAGTCAGAGATTGAACTAGACACCTAAATGAAACAAGTTTCCACTAAAACAATATTTATTTAATATTCCCTGTTTTGATTGACCATCCTGTCCCTTTACTGGGTAAAACCTGTATCTATTAAAGGAATACGAGTGACACTATCAATTACTAGTTGGCTACTTTCTTAAACTTTCAAATCCCAACGTAGCAGCAGAGTAACTATTAAGTAAATCACTATATAATCCACATTTTGCCAAAGTAAAAGAATGGTAAACATAGCCAATTATTCTGTAATCAAATTAGTAGTGGCCTAGCATGGATAATAATATTATTAAATAATATTAACAATCCTTTACAGTAACATCCTGGTATGCTACTTAGCAGAGGCTTTTAGCCAGCCCTTTGACTACAGCCAGAATAATAATATAATAATAATAATATAATAATAATAATAATATGCCATTTAGCAGACGCGGTAACCCAGACACATCACAGGGGCTATAAGGCTGAAGCATCCCTTTAAAAAAGTTCTCACCGCCAAATATGGTAGTGAGAGGAAGTCCCGTCGCGGGTAGTGGGAGAGGATGGAACTAGATGAAACTGGGCCAACATTCACATTTTCTCATCGATTGAAACGGTCTGCCCAACGCATTACCCGGGGAAAACTATCCGCCCTCCAGGACACATACAGCACCCGACGTCACAGGAAGGCCACAAATATCATCAAGGACATCAACCACCCGAGCCACTGCCTGTTCACCCCGCTATCATCCAGAAGGCGAGGTCAGTACAGGTGCATCAAAGCTGGGACTGAGAGAATGAAAAACAGCTTCTACCTCAAGGCCATCAGACTGTTAAATAGCCTTTACTAGCACATTAGAGGCTGCTGTTGCCTATTGAAATCACTGGCCACTTTAAGAAATGGAACACTAGTCACTTTAATAATGTTTACATATCTTGCATTACTCATCTCATACAGTTGAAGTCGGAAGTTTACATACACCTTAGCCAAATACATTTAAACTCAGTTTTTCACAATTCCTGACATTTAATCCTAGTAGAAATTCCCTGTCTTAGGTCAGTTAGGATCCCCACTTTATTTTAAGAATGTGAAATGTCAGAATAATAGTAGAGAGAATGATTTATTTAAGCTTTTATTTCTTTCATCACATTCCCAGTGGGTCACAAGTTTACATACACTCAATCAGTATTTGGTAGCATTGCCTTTAAATTGTTTAACATGGGTCAAATGTTTCGGGTAGCCTTCCACAAGCTTCCCACAATAAGTTGGGGGAATTTTGGCCCATTCCTCCCGACAGAGCTGGTGTAACTGAGTCTGGTTTGTAGGCCTCCTTGCTCGCACACGCTTTTTCAGGATTGAGGTCAGGGCTTTGTGATGGCCACTCCAATACCTTGACTTTGTTGTCCTTAAGCCATTTTGCCACAACTTTGGAAGTATGTTTGGGGTCATTGTCCATTTGGAAGACCCATTTGCGACCAAGCATTAAATTCCTGACTGATGTCTTGAGATATTGCTTCAATATATCCACATAATTTTCCTTCCTCATGATGCCATCTATTTTGTGAAGTGCACCAGTCCCTCCTGCAGCAAAGCACCCCCACAGCATGATGCTGCCACCCCCGTGCTTCACGGTTGGGATGGTGTTCTTCGGTTTGCAAGGCACCCCCTTTTTCCTCCAAACATAACATTGGTCATTATGGCCAAACAGTTCTATTTTTGTTTCATCAGACCAGAGGACATTTCTCCAAAAAGTACGATCTTTGTCCCCATGTGCAGTTGCAAACCGTAGTCTGGCTTTTTTCTGGCGGTTTTGGAGCGGTGGCTTCTTTCTTGCTGAGCGGCCTTTCAGGTTATGTCGATATAGGACTCGTTTTACTGTGGATATAGATACTTTTGTACCGGTTTCCTCCAGCATCTTCACAAGGTCCTTTGCTGTTGTTCTGGGATTGATTTGCACTTTTCGCACCAAAGTACGTTCATCTCTAGGAGACAGAACGCGTCTCCTTCCTGAGCGTTATGACGGCTGCGTGATCCCATGGTGTTTATACTTTCGTACTATTGTTTATACAGATGAACGTGGTACCTTCAGGCATTTGGAATTTGCTTCCAAGGATGAACCAGACTTGTGGAGGTCTACAATCTTTTTTCTGAGGTATTGGCTGATTTCTTTTGATTTTCCCATGATGTCAAGCAAAGAGGCATTGAGTTTGAAGGTATTCCTTAAAATACATCCACAGGTACACCTCCAATTGACTCAAATGATGTCAATTAGCCTATCAGAAGCTTCTGAAGCCATGACATCATTTTCTGGAATTTTCCAAGCTGTTTAAAGGCACAGTCAACTTCGTGTATGTAAACTTCTGACCCACTGGAATTGTGATACAGTGAATTATATGTGACATAATCTGTCTGTAAACAATTGTTGGAAAAATTACTTGTGTCATGCACAAAGTAGATGTCCTAACCGACTTGCCAAAACTATAGTTTGTTAACAAGAAATTTGTGGAGTGGTTGAGTTTTAATGACTCCAACCTAAGTGTATGTAAACTTCCGACTTCAACTGTATGTATATACTGTATTCTATACTATTCTACGGTATCTTAGTCACTTTAATAATGTTTACATATCTTGCATTACTCCTCTCATATGTATATACTGTATTCTATAATATTCTACTGTATCTTAGTCCATGCCGCTCTAACATCGCTCGTCCATATATGTACAGTACCAGTCAAGAGTTTGGACACACCTCCTCGTTCAAGGGTTTTTCTTTATTTCTACATTGTAGACTAATAGTGAAGACATCCAAACTATGAAATAACACATATGGAATCATGTAGTAACCAAAAAAGTGTTAAACAAATAAAATATATTTTACATTTGAGATTCTTCAAATAGCCACCCTTTGCCTTGATGACAGCTTTGCACACTCTTGGCATTCTCTCAACCAGCTTCACATGGAATGCTTTTCCAACAGTCTTGAAGGAGTTCCCACATATGCTGAGCACTTGTGGGCTGCTTTTCCCTCACTCTGCCGTCCGACTCATCCCAAACCATCTCAATTGGGTTAAGGTCGGGGGATTGTGGAGGCCAGCTCATTTGATGCAGCACTCCATCACTCTCCTTCTTGGTAAAATAGCCCTTACACAGCCTGGAGGTGTGTTGGGTCATTGTCCTGTTGAAAAACAAATGATAGTCCCACTAAGCCCAAACCAGATGGAATGGCGTATCGCTGCAGAATGCTGTGGTTAAGTGTGCCTTGAATTCTTAATCAATCACAGACAGTGTCACCAGCAAAGCACCACCACACCATAACACCTCCTCCTCCATGCTTTACGGTGGGAACTACACATGCAGAGATCATCCGTTCACCCACACCGTGTCTCACAAAGACTCAGCGGTTGGAACCAAAAATCTCCAATTCGGACTCCAGACCAAAGGACACATTTCCACCGGTCTAATGTCCATTGCTCGTGTTTCTTGGCCCAAGCAGGTCTCTTCTTCTTATTGGTGTCCTTTAGTAGTGGATTCTTTGCAGCAATTCGACCTTGAAGGCCTGATTCACACAGTCCTCTCTGAACAGTTGATGTTGAGATGTGTCTGTGACTTGAACTCTGTGAAGCATTTATTTGGGCTGCAATTTCTGAGGCTGGTAACTCTAATGAACTTATCCTCTGCAGCAGAGGTAATTCTGGGTCTTCCATTCCTGTGGCGGTCCTCATGAGAGCTAGTTTCATCATAGCGCTTGATGGTTTTTGCAACTGCACTTGAAGAAACGTTCAAAGTTCTTGAGATGTTCCGTATTGACTGACCTTAATGTCTTAAAGTAATGATGGACTGTCGTTTCTCTTTGCTTATTTGAGCTGTTCTTGACATAATATGGACTTGGTCTTTTACCAAATAGGGCTATCTTCTGTATACCCCCCCCCTACCTTGTCACAACACAACTGATTGGCTCAAACACATTAAGAAGGAAAGAAATTCCACAAATTAACTTTTAAGAAGGCACACCTGTTAATTGAAATGCATTCCAGGTGACTACCTCATGAAGCTGGTTGAGAGAATGCCAAGAGTGTGCAAAGCTGTCATCAAGGCAAAGGGTGGCTATTTGAAGAATCTCAAATATAAAATATATTTTATTTGTTTAACACTTTTTTGGTTACTACATGATTCCATATGTGTTATTTCATAGTTTTGATGTCTTCACTATTATTCTACAATGTAAAATTTTTAAAAATAAAGAAAAACCCTTGAATGAGTAGGTGTGTCCAAACTTTTGACTGGTACTGTACATATTCTTAATTCATTCCTTACTTAGATTTGTGTGTATTTGGTATATGTTGTGAAATTGTTGGATATTACTTGTTAGATATTACTGCACTGTCGGTGCTAGAAGCACAAGCATTTCGCTACACCTGCAATAACATCTGCTAAACATGTGTATGTGACAAATAAAATGTGATTGGATCTCAATAAATGTTTCTGTTCCCAAAACTAAAATCTTAAATTTGCTCCACTGTAAACGACAGAGATGAACTATCTTGGGATAGTAAAAAATATATTCGGTTTTACCATCCCTGACCCAGCCTTGAGCCTAGGATTAATGAGACACCTGTAACCACTAGACTGGCTCTCTGAATGGCTGGCTGTCTTTGACTGGCTGGTTGTCTCTCTGACTGGCTGGCTCGCCGGCTGGCTCTCTGGCTGGTTGGCTCTCGACTGGCTGGCTGGCTGGCTCTCTGACTGGCCGGCTGGCTCTCTTGACTGGCCGGCTGGCTCTCTTGACTGGCTGGCTCTCTGACTGGCTGACTGGCTGGCTCTCTTGACTGGCTGGCCGGCTGGCTCTCTTGACTGGCCGGCTGGCTCTCTGACTGGCCGGCTGGCTCTCTGACTGGCCGGCTGGCTCTCTGACTGGCTGGCTGGCTCTCTGACTGGCTGGCTGACTCTCTGACTGATGAGAGAGAGACCTACTTTGGTGGCAGGACGTTTATGTTAAAGTCAGGGGAAGTGTGTCCGTGGTTGCGCCGTTACAATGCAGAAAACCGCTAGTCTGTAGCAGCTCAAACCGTTCAAAACAAAATACCTATTTTACCAGAGCTACACTTCTTTCTAGCACGGATTTGCGGGATGCTCTTAAAGAGGTACACACAAATTAATCATCATGAGTAAGGAACTATGAAAATAGTTCAAGTAAACCTTAAAATAACCCATTTAACCGCTAAAAAATGTTTATCAAGGAAATTTTCTTTACAGCGTCCTTTAAATTCTAGGTATTATTATGATGTATTAGCAGTATGATTAGCAGTATGGATCAGATGATGATTAGCAGTATAGATCAGATGATGATTAGCAGTATAGATCAGATGATGATTATACAGTATACTGTAGATCAGATGATGATTAGCAGTATGGATCAGATGATGATTAGCAGTATGGATCAGATGATGATTATACAGTATACTGTAGATCAGATGATGATTAGCAGTATGGATCAGATGATGATTAGCAGTATACTGTAGATCAGATGATGATTAGCAGTATACTGTAGATCAGATGATGATTAGCAGTATGGATCAGATGATGATTAGCAGTATGGATCAGATGATGATTAGCAGTATGGATCAGATGATGATTAGCAGTATGGATCAGATGATGATTAGCAGTATGGATCAGATGATGATTAGCAGTATACTGTAGATCAGATGATGATTAGCAGTATGGATCAGATGATGATTAGCAGTATACTGTAGATCAGATGATGATTAGCAGTACGGATCAGATGATGATTAGCAGTATGGATCAGATGATGATTAGCAGTATGGATCAGATGATGATTAGCAGTATACTGTAGATCAGATGATGATTAGCAGTACGGATCAGATGATGATTAGCAGTATACTGTAGATCAGATGATGATTAGCAGTATACTGTAGATCAGATGATGATTAGCAGTATGGATCAGATGATGATTAGCAGTATGGATCAGATGATGATTAGCAGTATGGATCAGATGATGATTATACAGTATACTGTAGATCAGATGATGATTAGCAGTATGGATCAGATGATGATTAGCAGTATGGATCAGATGATGATTATACAGTATACTGTAGATCAGATGATGATTAGCAGTATGGATCAGATGATGATTAGCAGTATACTGTAGATCAGATGATGATTAGCAGTATACTGTAGATCAGATGATGATTAGCAGTATGGATCAGATGATGATTAGCAGTATGGATCAGATGATGATTAGCAGTATGGATCAGATGATGATTAGCAGTATGGATCAGATGATGATTAGCAGTATGGATCAGATGATGATTAGCAGTATACTGTAGATCAGATGATGATTAGCAGTATACTGTAGATCAGATGATGATTAGCAGTACGGATCAGATGATGATTAGCAGTATGGATCAGATGATGATTAGCAGTATGGATCAGATGATGATTAGCAGTATACTGTAGATCAGATGATGATTAGCAGTACGGATCAGATGATGATTAGCAGTATACTGTAGATCAGATGATGATTAGCAGTATACTGTAGATCAGATGATGATTAGCAGTATGGATCAGATGATGATTAGCAGTATGGATCAGATGATGATTAGCAGTATGGATCAGATGATGATTAGCAGTATGGATCAGATGATTAGATGATGATTAGCAGTATGGATCAGATGATGATTAGCAGTATACTGTAGATCAGATGATGATTAGCAGTACGGATCAGATGATGATTAGCAGTATACTGTAGATCAGATGATGATTAGCAGTATACTGTAGATCAGATGATGATTAGCAGTATGGATCAGATGATGATTAGCAGTATGGATCAGATGATGATTAGCAGCATGGATCAGATGATGATTAGCAGCATGGATCAGATGATGATTAGCAGTATGGATCAGATGATGATTAGCAGTATGGATCAGATGATGATTAGCAGCATGGATCAGATGATAATTAGCAGCATGGATCAGATGATGATTAGCAGCATGGATCAGATGATGATTAGCAGTATGGATCAGATGATGATTATACAGTATACTGTAGATCAGATGATGATTAGCAGTATGGATCAGATGATGATTAGCAGTATACTGTAGATCAGATGATGATTAGCAGTATACTGTAGATCAGATGATGATTAGCAGTATGGATCAGATGATGATTAGCAGTATGGATCAGATGATGATTAGCAGTATGGATCAGATGATGATTAGCAGTATGGATCAGATGATGATTAGCAGTATGGATCAGATGATGATTAGCAGTATACTGTAGATCAGATGATGATTAGCAGTATGGATCAGATGATGATTAGCAGTATACTGTAGATCAGATGATGATTAGCAGTACGGATCAGATGATGATTAGCAGTATGGATCAGATGATGATTAGCAGTATGGATCAGATGATGATTAGCAGTATACTGTAGATCAGATGATGATTAGCAGTACGGATCAGATGATGATTAGCAGTATACTGTAGATCAGATGATGATTAGCAGTATACTGTAGATCAGATGATGATTAGCAGTATGGATCAGATGATGATTAGCAGTATGGATCAGATGATGATTAGCAGTATGGATCAGATGATGATTAGCAGTATGGATCAGATGATTAGATGATGATTAGCAGTATGGATCAGATGATGATTAGCAGCATGGATCAGATGATGATTAGCAGCATGGATCAGATGATGATTAGCAGCATGGATCAGATGATGATTAGCAGCATGGATCAGATGATGATTAGCAGCATGGATCAGATGATGATTAGCAGCATGGATCAGATGATGATTAGCAGTATGGATCAGATGTATAGGGAAATGTAGGTGTGGCGCAGAAATCTTTATCCCATCAAGGTGTGCCACGGATTTAAAAAAAGGGTAGTGAACCACTGTGTTTCACAATGAAACTGGGGGAGCATTCAACAATATTGCATATCCATCTTTCTTTCATGACTTTACTTGTTGAACCCGGCACAAGTTACTGAATGTTTGTACACTACTTCTAAACAGGGGAGAAGTTGACCCAGTGACCTTTGTTGTTGTTTTGTAACACTGACCTGAATATACTTCATGAAGCGATGGCACTTGCCGCAGCGGGACAGGGGCTTGCCGGTGGCAGCGATGGGAGAGAACGTCACCTCCATGAGCTCGTCCATACCTACAGGACACAGAGACATGGTTAGTTTATGACCTCCAGCTAGTCCATACCTACAGGACACAGAGACATGGTTAGTTTATGACCTCCAGCTCGTCCATACCTACAGGACACAGAGACATGGTTAGTTTATGACCTCCAGCTCATCCATACCTACAGGACACAGAGACATGGGTAGTTTAGGAGATATTTGTGACGCCAAACCTTTTATTTTTTATAATACATTAATTCCTTTATTTGTCTCCCCTCCCTTCTCCTGCTACGGTCAGTATCCCCTCCCTTCTCCTGCTACGGTCAGTATCCCCTCCCCCCCCTGCTACGGTCAGTATCCCCTCCCCCCCTGCTACGGTCAGTATCCCCTCCCTTCTCCTGCTACGGTCAGTATCCCCTCCCCCCCCTGCTACGGTCAGTATCCCCTACCCCCCCCGCTACGGTCAGTATCCCCTCCCTTCTCCTGCTACGGTCAGTATCCCCTCCCCCCCCTGCTACGGTCAGTATCCCCTACCCCCCCCGCTACGGTCAGTATCCCCTCCCTTCTCCTGCTACGGTCAGTATCCCCTACCCCCCCCGCTACGGTCAGTATCCCCTCCCTTCTCCTGCTACGGTCAGTATCCCCCTATTAAGGTCAATATTTGGGAATGGTAAACTGATCCTAGATCTGTTTCAAAGAGCATCTTGAAGAAGTAGTGGAACTTCCTGTTGAAGAAGTAGTGGAACTTCCTGTTGAAGAAATAGTGGAACTTCCTGTTGAAGAAGTAGTGGAACTTCCTGTTGAAGAAGTAGTGGAACTTCCTGTTGAAGAAGTAGTGGAACTTCCTGTTGAAGAAATAGTGGAACTTCCTGTTGAAGAAATAGTGGAACTTCCTGTTGAAGAAATAGTGGAACTTCCTGTTGAAGAAGTAGTGGAGCTTCCTGTTGTAGATGTCCAGGGTGTGTGTTACTCATTGGTGATTAAGTCAAAGAAGTAGAACCTGATGAAGGCGAAAGCCAATAGGCGTTGGTGTATTTTAATGATGTCTTCGCCCAGACATTAAAGGCTTTTTAACTTTCAAAGAGTGCCTGGACCTGGACCACTTATTCCACAGCAACTACAGTACTCACTATATTACAGTAGAGTATTTACTATATTACAGTAGAGTATGTACTATATTACAGTAGAGTATGTACTATATTACAGTAGAGTATTTACTATATTACAGTACTCACTATATTACAGTACTCACTATATTACAGTAGAGTATTTACTATATTACAGTAGAGTATTTACTATATTACAGTACTCACTATATTACAGTACTCACTATATTACAGTAGAGTATTTACTATATTACAGTAGAGTATTTACTATATTACAGTAGAGTATTTACTATATTACAGTACTCACTATATTACAGTAGAGTATTTACTATATTACAGTAGAGTATTTACTATATTACAGTACTCACTATATTACAGTACTCACTATATTACAGTAGAGTATTTACTATATTACAGTAGAGTATTTACTATATTACAGTAGAGTATTTACTATATTACAGTACTCACTATATTACAGTACTCACTATATTACAGTACTCACTATATTACAGTAGAGTATTTACTATATTACAGTAGAGTATTTACTATATTACAATAGAGTATTTACTCTATTACAGTAGAGTATTTACTATATTACAGTAGAGTATTTACTATATTACAGTAGAGTATTTACTATATTACAGTACTCACTATATTACAGTACTCACTATATTACAGTAGAGTATGTACTATATTACAGTAGAGTATTTACTCTATTACAGTAGAGTATTTACTCTATTACAGTAGAGTATTTACTATATTACAGTAGAGTATTTACTATATTACAGTAGAGTATTTACTATATTACAGTACTCACTATATTACAGTAGAGTATTTACTCTATTACAGTAGAGTATTTACTCTATTACAGTAAAGTATTTACTATATTACAGTAGAGTATTTACTATATTACAGTAGAGTATTTACTATATTACAGTACTCACTATATTACAGTACTCACTATATTACAGTAGAGTATTTACTATATTACAGTAGAGTATTTACTCTATTACAGTACTCACTATATTACAGTACTCACTATATTACAGTAGAGTATTTACTATATTACAGTAGAGTATTTACTATATTACAGTACTCACTATATTACAGTACTCACTATATTACAGTAGAGTATTTACTATATTACAGTAGAGTATTTACTATATTACAGTACTCACTATATTACAGTACTCACTATATTACAGTAGAGTATTTACTATATTACAGTAGAGTATTTACTATATTACGGTACTCACTATATTACAGTACTCACTATATTACAGTAGAGTATGTACTATATTACAGTAGAGTATTTACTCTATTACAGTAGAGTATTTACTCTATTACAGTAGAGTATTTACTATATTACAGTAGAGTATTTACTATATTACAGTAGAGTACTCACTATATTACAGTACTCACTATATTACAGTAGAGTATTTACTCTATTACAGTAGAGTATTTACTCTATTACAGTAGAGTATTTACTCTATTACAGTAGAGTATTTACTATATTACAGTAGAGTATTTACTATATTACAGTAGAGTATTTACTATATTACAGTACTCACTATATTACAGTACTCACTATATTACAGTAGAGTATTTACTATATTACAGTAGAGTATTTACTATATTACAGTACTCACTATATTACAGTACTCACTCTATTACAGTAGAGTATTTACTATATTACAGTAGAGTATTTACTCTATTACAGTAGAGTATTTACTATATTACAGTAGAGTATTTACTATATTACAGTACTCACTATATTACAGTACTCACTATATTACAGTAGAGTATTTACTATATTACAGTAGAGTATTTACTATATTACAGTACTCACTATATTACAGTACTCACTATATTACAGTAGAGTATTTACTATATTACAGTAGAGTATTTACTATATTACAGTACTCACTATATTACAGTAGAGTATTTACTATATTACAGTAGAGTATTTACTATATTACAGTACTCACTATATTACAGTACTCACTATATTACAGTAGAGTATTTACTATATTACAGTAGAGTATTTACTATATTACAGTAGAGTATTTACTATATTACAGTACTCACTATATTACAGTACTCACTATATTACAGTACTCACTATATTACAGTAGAGTATTTACTATATTACAGTAGAGTATTTACTATATTACAATAGAGTATTTACTCTATTACAGTAGAGTATTTACTATATTACAGTAGAGTATTTACTATATTACAGTAGAGTATTTACTATATTACAGTACTCACTATATTACAGTACTCACTATATTACAGTAGAGTATGTACTATATTACAGTAGAGTATTTACTCTATTACAGTAGAGTATTTACTCTATTACAGTAGAGTATTTACTATATTACAGTAGAGTATTTACTATATTACAGTAGAGTATTTACTATATTACAGTACTCACTATATTACAGTAGAGTATTTACTCTATTACAGTAGAGTATTTACTCTATTACAGTAAAGTATTTACTATATTACAGTAGAGTATTTACTATATTACAGTAGAGTATTTACTATATTACAGTACTCACTATATTACAGTACTCACTATATTACAGTAGAGTATTTACTATATTACAGTAGAGTATTTACTCTATTACAGTACTCACTATATTACAGTACTCACTATATTACAGTAGAGTATTTACTATATTACAGTAGAGTATTTACTATATTACAGTACTCACTATATTACAGTACTCACTATATTACAGTAGAGTATTTACTATATTACAGTAGAGTATTTACTATATTACAGTACTCACTATATTACAGTAGAGTATTTACTATATTACAGTAGAGTATTTACTATATTACGGTACTCACTATATTACAGTACTCACTATATTACAGTAGAGTATGTACTATATTACAGTAGAGTATTTACTCTATTACAGTAGAGTATTTACTCTATTACAGTAGAGTATTTACTATATTACAGTAGAGTATTTACTATATTACAGTAGAGTACTCACTATATTACAGTACTCACTATATTACAGTAGAGTATTTACTCTATTACAGTAGAGTATTTACTCTATTACAGTAGAGTATTTACTCTATTACAGTAGAGTATTTACTATATTACAGTACAGTATTTACTATATTACAGTAGAGTATTTACTATATTACAGTACTCACTATATTACAGTACTCACTATATTACAGTAGAGTATTTACTATATTACAGTAGAGTATTTACTATATTACAGTACTCACTATATTACAGTACTCACTCTATTACAGTAGAGTATGTACTATATTACAGTAGAGTATTTACTCTATTACAGTACTCACTATATTACAGTACTCACTATATTACAGTAGAGTATTTACTATATTACAGTAGAGTATTTACTATATTACGGTACTCACTATATTACAGTACTCACTATATTACAGTAGAGTATGTACTATATTACAGTAGAGTATTTACTCTATTACAGTAGAGTATTTACTCTATTACAGTAGAGTATTTACTATATTACAGTATAGTATTTACTATATTACAGTAGAGTACTCACTATATTACAGTACTCACTATATTACAGTAGAGTATTTACTCTATTACAGTAGAGTATTTACTCTATTACAGTAGAGTATTTACTCTATTACAGTAAAGTATTTACTATATTACAGTAGAGTATTTACTATATTACAGTAGAGTATTTACTATATTACAGTAGAGTATTTACTATATTACAGTAGAGTATTTACTATATTACAGTACTCACTATATTACAGTACTCACTATATTACAGTAGAGTATTTACTATATTACAGTAGAGTATTTACTATATTACGGTACTCACTATATTACAGTACTCACTATATTACAGTAGAGTATTTACTCTATTACAGTAGAGTATTTACTCTATTACAGTAGAGTATTTACTCTATTACAGTAGAGTATTTACTATATTACAGTAGAGTATTTACTATATTACAGTAGAGTACTCACTATATTACAGTACTCACTATATTACAGTAGAGTATTTACTCTATTACAGTAGAGTATTTACTCTATTACAGTAGAGTATTTACTCTATTACAGTAGAGTATTTACTATATTACAGTACAGTATTTACTATATTACAGTAGAGTATTTACTATATTACAGTACTCACTATATTACAGTACTCACTATATTACAGTAGAGTATTTACTATATTACAGTAGAGTATTTACTATATTACAGTACTCACTATATTACAGTACTCACTCTATTACAGTAGAGTATGTACTATATTACAGTAGAGTATTTACTCTATTACAGTACTCACTATATTACAGTACTCACTCTATTACAGTAGAGTATTTACTATATTACAGTAGAGTATTTACTCTATTACAGTAGAGTATTTACTCTATTACAGTAGAGTATTTACTATATTACAGTAGAGTATTTACTATATTACAGTACTCACTATATTACAGTACTCACTATATTACAGTAGAGTATTTACTATATTACAGTAGAGTATTTACTATATTACGGTACTCACTATATTACATTACTCACTATATTACAGTAGAGTATGTACTATATTACAGTAGAGTATTTACTCTATTACAGTAGAGTATTTACTCTATTACAGTAGAGTATTTACTATATTACAGTATAGTATTTACTATATTACAGTAGAGTACTCACTATATTACAGTACTCACTATATTACAGTAGAGTATTTACTCTATTACAGTAGAGTATTTACTCTATTACAGTAGAGTATTTACTCTATTACAGTAAAGTATTTACTATATTACAGTAGAGTATTTACTATATTACAGTAGAGTATTTACTATATTACAGTAGAGTATTTACTATATTACAGTACTCACTATATTACAGTACTCACTATATTACAGTAGAGTATTTACTATATTACAGTAGAGTATTTACTATATTACAGTACTCACTATATTACAGTACTCACTATATTACAGTAGAGTATTTACTATATTACAGTAGAGTATTTACTATATTACAGTACTCACTATATTACAGTACTCACTATATTACAGTAGAGTATGTACTCTATTACAGTAGAGTATTTACTCTATTACAGTAGAGTATTTACTCTATTACAGTAGAGTATTTACTATATTACAGTAGAGTATTTACTATATTACAGTAGAGTATTTACTATATTACAGTAATCACTATATTACAGTACTCACTCTATTACAGTAGAGTATGTACTATATTACAGTAGAGTATTTACTCTATTACAGTACTCACTATATTACAGTACTCACTCTATTACAGTAGAGTATTTACTATATTACAGTAGAGTATTTACTCTATTACAGTAGAGTATTTACTCTATTACAGTAGAGTATTTACTATATTACAGTAGAGTATTTACTATATTACAGTAGAGTACTCACTATATTACAGTACTCACTATATTACAGTAGAGTATTTACTCTATTACAGTAGAGTATTTACTCTATTACAGTAGAGTATTTACTATATTACAGTAGAGTATTTACTATATTACAGTAGAGTATTTACTATATTACAGTACTCACTATAGTACAGTACTCACTATATTACAGTAGAGTATTTACTATATTACAGTAGAGTATTTACTATATTACAGTACTCACTATATTACAGTACTCACTATATTACAGTAGAGTATTTACTATATTACAGTAGAGTATTTACTATATTACAGTACTCACTATATTACAGTAGAGTATGTACTATATTACAGTAGAGTATTTACTCTATTACAGTAGAGTATTTACTCTATTACAGTAGAGTATTTACTATATTACAGTAGAGTATTTACTATATTACAGTAGAGTATTTACTATATTACAGTACTCACTATATTACAGTACTCACTCTATTACAGTAGAGTATGTACTATATTACAGTAGAGTATTTACTCTATTACAGTACTCACTATATTACAGTACTCACTCTATTACAGTAGAGTATTTACTATATTACAGTAGAGTATTTACTCTATTACAGTAGAGTATTTACTCTATTACAGTAGAGTATTTACTATATTACAGTAGAGTATTTACTCTATTACAGTAGAGTATTTACTCTATTACAGTAGAATATTTACTCTATTACAGTAGAGTATTTACTATATTACAGTACAGTATTTACTATATTACAGTAGAGTATTTACTATATTACAGTATAGTATTTACTATATTACAGTAGAGTATTTACTATATTACAGTACTCACTATATTACAGTACTCACTATATTACAGTAGAGTATTTACTATATTACAGTAGAGTATTTACTATATTACAGTACTCACTATATTACAGTACTCACTATATTACAGTAGAGTATTTACTATATTACAGTAGAGTATTTACTATATTACAGTAGAGTATTTACTATATTACAGTACAGTATTTACTATATTACAGTAGATTATTTACTATATTACAGTACTCACTATATTACAGTACTCACTATATTACAGTAGAGTATTTACTATATTACAGTAGAGTACTCACTATATTACAGTAGAGTACTCACTATATTACAGTAGAGTATTTACTATATTACAGTAGAGTATTTACTATATTACAGTACTCACTATATTACAGTAGAGTATTTACTATATTACAGTAGAGTATTTACTATATTACAGTAGAGTATTTACTATATTACAGTAGAGTATTTACTATATTACAGTAGAGTATTTACTATATTACAGTAGAGTATTTACTATATTACAGTACTCACTATATTACAGTAGAGTATTTACTATATTACAGTAGAGTATTTACTATATTACAGTAGAGTATTTACTATATTACAGTAGAGTATTTACTATATTACAGTACAGTATTTACTATATTACAGTACAGTATTTACTATATTACAGTAGAGTATTTACTATATTACAGTAGAGTATTTACTATATTACAGTAGAGTATTTACTATATTACAGTAGAGTATTTACTATATTACAGTAGAGTATTTACTATATTACAGTACAGTATTTACTATATTACAGTAGAGTATTTACTATATTACAGTACAGAATTAGTGGTTATAATGTTTTCCTTCGCTTTCCAATCACTTTTCTCCTCCGAGAACCTGTGGTTGTTTTGGAGTCCCTGATGCGCTCCTGCTACTTATGTTTCATGGTGGGACTTCCTCTTGGAGATGTCCAGGGTGTGTGTGTGTGTGTGTGTGTGTGTGTGTGTGTGTGTGTGTGTGTGTGTGTGAGTGAGTGTGAGTGTTTGTGTGAGTGTGTTGTACTCACTAGCAATGGTGTCAAAGAAGTAGTGGAACTTCCTCTTGAAGATGTCCAGGGTGTGTTGCAGAACCTGTTGGTAGTTCACCTTGCCCTGGGCAATCAGGTTCAGCTGTTTCTCTACAGCGCCACGGATGGTAGGCAGCACCAGCTCAGCATCTACACAAACATCGCGGGGGGGTTGAATACAAACACACACACACACACACACACACACATTGTAAACACACACATACATAAATGCATGCAAGTACATATGGATACATATGAAAACATGTCAATTCTAACTTGTGCTAATGGAAAATGTAGGGTCCATCTGCAAGTGTGTTGAGTGTTAAAGTTACTGACCTGTCTTGTAGAATCCGTGCACCAGAATGATGCTCACACACACACACACACACACCTGTCTTGTAATATCCGTGCACCAGGACGATGCCCAGGTTGGTGGGTTTGAGCTTGCGTCCGTTCTCCACCGTCACATAATTCCTCTGAGAGATGTTGTTGATATGGACCGGGATGCTGGCGTCAGTACCTGCAAGGACGGTTACACACAGTATTCCACCATTAACGTATCCCTAGACAGACACCCGCGGTGGCATAACATGAATCAACAACTTTCATACGCACACACACACACACACACACGCACACACACACACACACACACTCTGCACACACACACACACACTCTGCACACACACACACACACACACACTGCACACACACAGCCTCCACCCCTGCACACACACACACACCCTGCACACACACACACACCCTGCACACACACACACACACCCTGCACACACACCCTGCACACACACAGCATCCACCCCTGCACACACACACACACACACACACACACCCTGCACACACACACACACACACACCCTGCACACACACACCCACACAGCCTCCACCCCTGCACACACACACACACACACACACACACACACACACACACACACACACACACCCTGCACACACACACACACACACACACACACACCCTGCACACACAGCCTCCACCCCTGCACACACACCCTGCACACACACAGCCTCCACCCCTGCACACACACACACACACACACACCCTGCACACACACACACACACACAAACACACAGCCTCCACCCCTGCACACACACAGCCTCCACCCCTGCACACACACCTATGCCGTGTTTCTCCATCAGTGTGATGAGGTCGGCCTCAGTGAGGTAGTCTGGAGGGCTGGTCTGTCTCTCCACTAGTTTAATCTCCTCTACTGTGAAGACGTCTCCCCTCTCACACACTGGCATAGCCTCCTCGAGAGGGATACCCAGCCACGGCATCACCTCCGTGAAGCCTGAGTACCAGTTACAACAAACATTTAGAAGCATCTATTAGCATTAGAAATCTTACAATTCATAAGCATTTAGGCTATAGCTAAACATTTAGCACCATTTATAAAGCATTTAGAAGGATTTATAATGGCTTATTCATGAAAACAGCAACACTAATTGGTTGGTTGATTGATCTTTATTAGTCATGTGTATCACAAAATATTTCTCAGCATAACAATATTAGGAAACAAGACCAGATGGCAAGAGGACAACAACAACAACAGTAAACAACAACAACAGGACCTTACCAGGTGATATGAGTGTCTTTCCGCTGCAGGAGAAACCCTCTGAGGCGATGATGAAGGAGATGGTTGTCTGCAGGTACTTACAGTCCTGACTCACCGTGGCGATGAAGTGACGCACGATGTACTCGTACAAACGCCACCCGTCACTTCCTGTTGTGGAGACGGGCAGGGGGTGTGTTCATTAGGTACCAAACAGAAGAAAACAGACTGAAACAGGAAGGCTCTACCTGAAACACTCATTTTCCAATATGAAACACTCATTTTCCAACATGAAACACTCATTTTCATTTTACGTTACAGTTAGAGGAAAACCCACCTCAATCTTGTGAAAACCCTTGGGATAGTTTTATTTTGAAGCGGAACACCATTTGTTTATGCTACAGAAACACCAGAATGGCTTTCCAATAGGTTTTGAGTGTTCCTAAATTGTCCAGTATCAGTCCCGACTTAAATTTGCTTGAAATCAGAGACAAGGTTTGAATATTTCTGTCCATTAATAATCCCCAACCATATTTACTGAGTTTGACCAATTTTGACAAAAAATGATGGAAACATGTTGTCCTAAAAGTTGTGCAAAGTTTGTAGAATCTTATTTTTTTATTTTTTTTATCACAGCTGTAATGGCCGCAAAAGGTGTTTCCACCAAGTATTAACTCTGGGGTGTTTCCACCAAGTATTAACTCTGGGGTGTTTCCACAAGTATTAACTCTGGGGTGTTTCCAACAAGTATTAACTCTGGGGTGTTTCCAACAAGTATTCACCAAGTATTAACTCTGGGGTGTTTCCAACAAGTATTAACTCTGGGGGTTTCCACCAAGTATTAACTCTGGGGTGTTCCACCAAGTATTAACTCTGGGGTGTTTCCACCAAGTATTAACTCTGGGGTGTTTCCACCAAGTATTAACTCTGGGGTGTTTCCACAAGTATTAACTCTGGGGTGTTTCCACCAAGTATTAACTCTGGGGTGTTTCCACCAAGTATTAACTCTGGGGTGTTTCCACCAAGTATTAACTCTGGGGTGTTTCCACCAAGTATTAACTCTGGGGTGTTTCCAACAAGTATTAACTCTGGGGTGTTTCCACCAAGTATTAACTCTGGGGTGTTCCACCAAGTATTAACTCTGGGGTGTTTCCACCAAGTATTAACTCTGGGGTGTTTCCAACAAGTATTAACTCTGGGGTGTTTCCACCAAGTATTAACTCTGGGGTGTTTCCACCAAGTATTAGTCTGGGGTGTTTCCAACAAGTATTAACTCTGGGGTATTTCCACCAAGTATTAACTCTGGGGTGTTTCCACCAAGTATTAACTCTGGGGTGTTTCCAACAAGTATTAACTCTGGGGTGTTTCCACCAAGTATTAGTCTGGGGTGTTTCCAACAAGTATTAACTCTGGAGGGGAAGACATACACAATCAAAACATCTTCATTTTTGGAGGGGATAAAATAAAAAAAACGTTGGAAATGTGCGGTAGGTTGTGTACATTGATTGGTAAGGGAAAAAATCAAATCATTTTTTTTTTTTTTTACATTTAATTTTAAGGCAGCAAAGTAGCACAATGAGATGCCTGGGTCGTGTTCATTAGGCTCCAAATGTAAAGAAACCGACTGAAACAGGGAGGGACTACCTGAACCAATTGTCCAATAAGAAACGCTCATTTAGGTTTTTGCTAGGACGTGCCCTAATGACCATGGAGACTGGACAGTGATGGGGGAAGCTAACATAAGGACTGGAAGGACAGGAGGAGGAGAAGTCAACAGGAAGACATGTAGATATAGCAGGTGAAACATGACACGTTACAAGGTAGCCTGGTCCCCTGATCTGTTTGTGCTGGAGTCGGCAATAGTAAGGAAACACAAGCGGATGTTACCAGGCTAGTTTCAAGGTGCCACTACCCACCTAGCTCTCCTTCGGAGGCAGCCCTCATGGGGGTGATGGGAGGGTGGTCTCCGGCATCAGCTCCTTTCCTGGGACGGTTCAGTCCCTCTGACAGCAGAGCCTTCACCTAGAGGGGGACAAACCACGTCAAGGCTGGTTTTCATACAGTCTCAACGTAGGGGTGCTGATCTGGGATCAGTTTCACTGTATTTTTGTCTTTCCACAATTTTTGTTTTGTGTTTCATTTCGAGGTAACTCCAAACGATGTCACCCAGGAGGATGTATCCAATTCACGCATGATCAGAATTAATCACGTGTTGGAGCAAGTGTGTGTGTGTATGTACTAATAAAATGTACTAATAACGTTAAAATGGCGTCATCAGGGAGAGTCCGCATGAATAATCTGCATGTATCACATTCTGGACAATCAATCAGTCCACGTGTGCCCGTTTTGTTAGACGCTTTCGTTACATTTTGCATTCATTACGAGGTAACTTCCAAATTACGTAATTCAGGACAGTATGCATACATAACCTGAATTCATCACACGTTGATCATTAAATCAGTGTGCGTCCTTGTCTATTTGATCATGTGACTTTTTGATAGAGTGTGCATGTTTCATCGGTGTGTTTGGTGCATGTCGATGAGTGCACGTCTTTGTATCGGTGCGAGTCCTCCTCAGGCTGCTTCCTGATTCTCCGCTCTTCTCCCAAAGTTAACATTTACACACTTTCTCCAGCCAATGCTTACATCAATCTTATGCTTTTGAATCTATGACGTTGAGTTTGCAAGTGCACACTTCTGGAAAAGGGTGGAGAATGGAGCCTCAGTCTCTCTCTCTCTGCTCTCACCTCCTGAGCCCAGAAGGGGTTGTTAGCCTGCTGTCTGAGTGTCCCCTTCAGGTCAAAGTTCTCGTGGTAGTGGTTGGTCTCAGTACGGGGGTAGCTGATATAGCCCTGGGTGTACAGACGCTCTGCTATCTGCATGGTGTGCTGCGGACCCATACCTAAAATGGAAGAGAACACAGCGCCTTCGGTTCAGACACTCTTCAGAGGAACACAACGCAAATAAGTTGTAATACTTTTGTGCCCTCCTTGATGATTGTGAATGCAGTGTATCCACTTCTTTGTGTTTTGAAATGGTCAAATGAATAAAATACAGTACTGACCACAGACCCAGTACTGACCATAGACCCAGTACTGACCATAGACCCAGTACTGACCATAGACCCAGTACTGACCATAGACCCAGTACTGACCACAGACCCAGTACTGACCACAGACCCAGTACTGACCACAGACCCAGTACTGACCACAGACCCAGTACTGACCATAGACCCAGTACTGACCATAGACCCAGTACTGACCATAGACCCAGTACTGACCATAGACCCAGTACTGACCACAGACCCAGTACTGACCACAGACCCAGTACTGAGCATACAGCTATATATACACATACAGTGAGCACCATAATTCATTGGACAGTGACCATTGTTTTGTTATTTTGATTTTGTACTCTAGCACTTTGAGTTTGAAAGGATACAATGACAGTGAGGGTGAAGTGCAGACTGTCAGCTTTAAATTGAGGGTATTTTCATACATATCGGATGAACAGTTTAGAAATTATAGAAGCTTTTGTACATGGTCCCCCCATTTTAAGGTACTACAAGTATTTGTTAAATTGGCTTCACAGATGTGTGTTGTTAGGCAGGTGTATTAATTTGTGTCGTTAGTGAATGCAGAAGAGCTGTTGATGAATAGTATTGATTCTAGACTTTGCTATTGCCTTTGGAGGTTGTTGTTGGGGTGTGACAACATGAGGAAGACAGCAGTGTCGATGCAAATGAAGCTGGCCGTCATAAGGCTCAGAAAAAATGAAAATCAATCAATCAGGAACATTGCAAAAACCCTGGCCATGCCCAAGTCAACAGTTTGGTTCATCATTAACAAGAAAAAAACAACCGGTGAACTCAATTATGTCCAAAAGACCCGGTAGACCGAGGAAGACCACTGTAGTGGGGACCGGAAAATACTCTCTATGGTGAAGAAAACCCCCATGACAACAGCCCAACAGATCAAAAACACTCTCCTGGATGCAGGTGTAGATGTGTCAAAGTCTACCATACGTAGAAGACTACACCAGCAGGACTACAGAGGGTAACACTACAAGATGCAAACCACTGATAAGCCTGAAGAACAGAAAGGCCAGATTACAGTTTGCTAAAAAGCCCCTAAAAGAGCCCCAAGAGTTCTGGAAAAAAGTATTGTGGACAGATGAGACAAAGATGAACATGTACCAGAGTGATGGAAAGAGGAAATTGTGGAGAAAAAACAGAAATGCCCATGATCCAAAGCATACCACCTCATCCCTGAAACATGGTGGATGGGGTGTTATGGCTTGGGCCTGTATGGCTGCCAGTGGAACAGGCTCACTTGTCTTCATCGATGATGTGACTGCAGACAGAAGTAGAACAATGAATTCTGAAGTCTACAGAAATATTCTATCTGCTCAGATAAAACCAAATGCCTCCAAACTCATCGGACGGCACTTCATCATGCAACAAGACAATGACCCTAAACATACTGCTAGAGCAAAGAAGGGGTTTTTGATGGCCAAAAAGTGGAAAATCGTTGACTGGCCGAGTCAATCACCGGATCTGAATCCAATTGAACATACATTTTACATGCTGAAGAGGAGACTGAAGGCAATAAGTCCCCGAAACAAGCAGGAACTGAAGATGGCTGCAGTACAGGCCTGGCAGAGCATCACCAGGGAAGATACCCAGCGTCTGGTGATGTTGATGCATCGCAGACTTCAAGCAGTCATTGCATGCAAAGGATATGCGACCAAATATTAACAATGATAACTTTATTCTACATTATGTTAAACTGTCCAATGTTTTTTTATGCCTGAAAATAGGGGGGACCATGTACAAAATCTTCTATAATTTCTAAACGGTTCATCCGATATGTATGAAAATACCCTCAAATTAAAGCTGACAGTCTGCACTTCACCCTCACTTCCATTGTATCCTTTCAAACTCAAAGTGCTAGAGTACAGAATCAAAATAACAAAACAATGGTCACTGTCCAATGAATTATGGTGCTCACTGTATGTACTGTATACATGAATGGCTGAATGGCTTGACTACTGGTTGAATGGCTTGACTACTGGCTGAATGGCTTGACTTCTGGCTAAATAGCTTGACTACTGGTTGAATGGCTAAATGGCTTGACAACTGGCTGAATGGCTTGACTACTGGCTGAATGGCTTGACTACTGCTGAATGGCTGAATGGCTTGACTACTGGCTGAATGGCTGAATGGCTTGACAACTGGTTGAATGGCTTGACTACTGGCTGAATGGCTTGACTACTGGTGAATGGCTGAATGGCTTGACTACTGGTTGAATGGCTATGCTAATGGCTGAAATGGAACTTGATATGGCAATGCTTGATACTGGCTAATGGTGAGCTAAACTGGTGAATGGCTTGCGCATTACTGGTAATGCTAGCTGAATGGTTGAATGGCATGTGACTACTGGTGAATGGCTTGACTACTGGTGAATGGCTAATGGCTTGACTATGTGGCTAATGGCTTGACTACTGTTGAATGCTACTTACACTGTGAATGGCTTGATAGGTGATGGCTTGACTACTGGTAAGCTGATGGGCGATCTACTACTTGCTGCTATGAAGCTAATGTAGCTGACTACTGGCTGAAGCTGCACTGTGAATGTGAATGTAAGCTTGATATGGTAATGCTGACTACTGGTATGGCTTGCTACTGCTGAATGGTTGATGGTACTGGTGATGGCTGACTCTGGTGAATGGCTTGACACGTACTTAATGTGATGCTTACTATGTTGAATGCTAATGGCTTGACTACTGCTGAATGGCTGACACTGCTAATTTGCTGATGGCTTGACTACTGGTGAATGGCTTGAACTGGTGAATGCTGCTGGAATGGCTTGACTACTGGTGAATGGCTTGACACTGTTGAATGGCTTGACTACTGCTGAATGTCTTGACTACTGGCTAATGGCTTGACTGTAGCTTGACACTGGTTGAATGGCTGAAGGCTTGACTACTGGCTGAATGGCTGAATGCTTGGCTGTTTGGCTAATGCTTGACACTGGTTGATGGCTAATGGCTTGACTACTAATGCTTGACTGATGGCTATGGCTTGACTACTGGTTGAATGCTAATGGCTTGACTACTGGTGAAGGCTTGACACTGGTGAATGGCTTGACTACTGGCTGAATGGCTTGACTACTGGCTGAATGGCTTGACTACTGGCTGAATGGCTTGACTACTGGCTGAATGGCTTGACTACTGGCTGAATGCTTGACCTGCTGAATGCTTGACACTGGTTGAATGGCTTGACAACTGTGAATGCTTGACTACTGGTTGATGGCTGACTACTGGCTGAATGGCTTGACACTGGTGAATGGCTTGACTACTGGCTGAATGGCTTGACTACTGCTGAATGGCTGAAATGGTTGAATGGCTTGACACTGGTTAATGCTTGACTACTGGTGAATGGCTGACACTGGTGAGGCTTGACACTGGCTGATGCTTGACTACTGTTAATGTTGACATGGCTAAGCTGACTCTGGTATGCAGGGCTACTACTGGCTGAATGCTACTACTGGCTGAATGGCTTGATTCGGTAAGCTGACACTGGTTGAGGTGAAGGCTTGACTCGGCTGAATGCTTGACTACTGTGAATGGCTTGACTCTGGCTAATGCTGACTACTGTTGAATGGCTGAACGGCTGACTACTGGCTGACGCTTGAACTGGCTGAAGGCTTGACTACTGGTGAACGCTACTACTGGTGAAGGCTTGACTACTGGTGAGGCTTGACTACTGGCTAATGTGATGGCTTGACTACTGTGAATGGCTGATGTGACATGGTTAATGCTGAATGCTACTACTGGTTGAATGGCTAATGGCTTGACTACTGTTGAATGCTAATGGCTAATGCTGAATGCTTGACACTTGCTAATGGTGATGCTGATGTTGAATGGCTGATGTGACTTGTGAATGCTTGAATGCTGAATGGCTGACACGGTATGGCTAATGGCTTGACTACTGGTTGAATGGCTTGACTACTGGTGAATGGCTGACCTGTTGAATGGCTGAATGGCTTGACTACTGGTTGAATGGCTAAATGGCTTGACTACTGGTTGAATGGCTTGACTACTGGTTGAATGGCTTGACTACTGGTTGAATGGCTTGACTACTGGTTGAATGGCTTGACTACTGGCTGAATGGCTTGACTACTGGCTAAATGGCTTGACTACTGGTTGAATGGCTTGACTACTGGTTGAATGGCTTGACTACTGGTTGAATGGCTTGACTACTGGTTGAATGGCTTGACTACTGGTTGAATGGCTTGACTACTGGCTAAATGGCTGAATGGTTGAATGGCTTGACTACTGGCTGAATGGCTTGACTACTGGCTGACTGGCTGAATGGTTGAATGGCTTGACTACTGGCTGAATGGCTTGACTACTGGCTGACTGGCTGAATGGTTGACTAATGGCTGTATAGTTTGACTACTGGTTGACATTTTTCACATTTTAGTCATTTAGCAGACTCTCTTATCCAGAGCGACATACAGTTAGTGAGTGCATTAAAAAAAATCATACTGGCCCCTCGTGGGAATCGAACCCACAACCCTGGCGTTGCAAGCGCCATGCTCTACCAACTTAGCTACACGGGACCTGAATGACTGAATAGTTTGACTACTGGTTGAATGGCTGCTAATGACTGTGCTGTGATTGGTGGTCTCACCTAGAGAGGAGCTGGCCACTCGGAGCATCTCCACGGTGTTCAAGGCCAGAGGTCTCTGCTTGGCCTTCTCCTTCTTACTCACCGACTCCACCTTAAGGACGGGAAGAGAACTACACTTTTCATAAAGGCACTATTTTGGCTGTGTTTAGACAGGCAGCCCAATTCTAATCTTTTGACCAATTATTGGTATTTTGACCAATCAGATCAGATATTTTGCCCAAAATTGGACCAAAGATCAGAAATGGGCTGCCTGTGTAAACACATCCATTGCATGTGGTTGAAGTGGTTTCTTAAGTTGGTCAACCTTTCAAAAAAGGAGTTTAACCTCAAGGCCTTTCCTCAGTATCTGTGTTACATCAGAGAGACGTAAGGAGGAGGGAGAGAGTAGGGATGTGACGGTCATTACATTTTGTCAGCCGGTGATTGTCAAGAAAATAACTGCCGGTCTCACGGTAATGCACGCATAGCCTACAAGCCACTGATACAGACCTTTAGAACATCTACATTTTAAAAAGTCTAGCCTACACCATCACAATAAATCCATTATTTATTTTAGACAGGTCTAAAGAAACATGATATGAAGAAAATGTAGTCTATTTCAGAATAACAGAATAGCATATTCTGAGTTGTCCTTATGTTAGGTCCTGATCTGGCTATGCCATATGGCTGTGGGCTACACTAGTTCATTTAGCAGACAAGATTTGCTTAGAATTCCCTGGCATTATTCTTTATTATTTTATAGTATGAAGAATACAATTGAACATACAGTTGAAGTCGGAAGTTTACATACACCTTAGCCAAATACATTTAAACTCAGTTTTTCACAATTCCTGACATTTAATCCTAGTAAAGATTCCCTGTCTTATATAAATTCGGATCACCACTTTATTTTAAGAATGTGAAATGTCAGAATAATAGTAGAGAGAATGATTTATTTAAGCTTTTATTTATTTCATCACATTCCCAGTGGGTGACAAGTTTACATACACTCAATTAGTATTTGGTAGCCTTGCCTTTAAATTGTTTAACTTGGGTCAAACGTTTCAGGTAGCCTTCCACAAGCTTCCCACAATAAGTTGGGTGAATTCTGGCCCATTCCTCCTGGCAGAGATGGTGTAACTGAGTCAGGTTTGTAGGCCTCCTTGCTCGCACACTCTTTTTCAGTTCTGCCCACAAATGTTCTATAGGATTGAGGTCAGGGCTTTGTGATGGCCACTCCAATACCTTGACTTTGTTGTCCTTAAGCCATTTTGCCACAACTTTGGAAGAATGCTTGGGGTCATTGTCCATTTGGAAGACCCATTTGCGACCAAGCTTTAACTTCCTGACTGATGTCTTGAGATGTTGCTTCAATATATCCACATAATTTTCCTTCCTCATGACGCCATCTATTTTGTGAAGTGCACCAGTCCCTCCTGCAGCAAATCACCCCCACAGCATGATGCTGCCACCCCCGTGCTTCACGGTTGGGATAATGTTCTTGGGCTTGCAAGCCTTCCCCTTTTCCCTCCAAACATAACGATGGTCATTATGGCCAAACAGTTATATTTTTGTTTCATCAGACCAGAGGACATTTCTCCAAAAAGTACGATCTTTGTCCCCATGTGCAGTTGCAAACCGTAGTCTGGCTTTTTTATGGCGGTTTTGGAGCAGTGGCTTCTTCCTTGCTGAGCGGCCTTTCAGGTTATGTTGATATAGGACTCGTTTTACTGTGGATATAAATACTTTTGTACCTGTTTCCTCCAGCATCTTCACAAGGTCCTTTGCTGATGTTCTGGGATTGATTTGCACTTTTCACACCAAAGTACGTTCATCTCTAGGAGACAGAACGCATCTCCTTCCTGAGCGGTATGACGGCTGCGTGGTCCCATGGTGTTTATACTTGCATACTATTGTTTGTACAGATGAACGTGGTACCTTCAGGCATTTGGAATTTGCTTCCAAGGATGAACCAGACTTGTGATTTATTTAGATTTTCCCATGATGTCAAGCAAATAGGCACTGAGTTTGAAGGTAGGCCTTGAAATACATCCACAGGTACACCTCCAATTGACTCAAATGATGTCAATTAGCCTATCAGAAGCTTCTAAAGCCATGACATTTTCTGGAATTTTCCAAGCTTTTTAAAGGCACAGTCAACTTAGTGTATGTAAACTTCAGACCCACTGGAATTGTGATACAGTGAATTATAAGTGAAATAATCGGTCTGTAAACAATTGTTGGAAAAATTACTTGTGTCATACACAAAGTAGATGTCCTAACATACTTGCCAAAACTATAGTTTGTTAACAAGAAATTTGTGGAGTGGTTGAAAAATGAGTTTTAATGACTCCAACCTAAGTGTATGTAAACTTCCGACTTCAACTGTAGCTTAATAAAACAGAAAGGATATTTTCTCCAAACTATTTCAAAAGGAAGTGCGCACATGCGGCTATTCTGTGTTGAGCGGTTAACAAAGAAACTGGTCCTCCTATATGCTTAATTTAGTGTTATTTACGCAACTTTAGTTGTGAAACCAACATTGGGCTATATATTAGATTTTTGATAAATTCTAAGGCTGAATGACGGGACTCTAATGACGATTTGAAAAAAGTTGCAAGCTGCACACACTTCATCAGTCTCTCATTCACAATTTGACAAGCACGTGATGATATTCTCACCAGGCCTCGAATTTCCCGGCGGCATTCCCCTTGTGTGGCCGTAATGCCCCCTAAAAACATTAATGCCTTTTGCGGCCGAAGTGGCCGTTGTGCCCTTGGGCAGAATATATATATATATTTTTTCTTTCTAATTTATTTTAGTCATTTAGCAGACGCTCTTATTCAGAGCGACTTACATGAGCAATTAGGGTTAAGTGCCTTGTTCAAGGGCCCATCGACAGATTTTTCACCTAGTCGGCTCGGGGATTAGAACCAGCGACCTTTCGGTTACTGGCACAACGCTGTTAACCACTAAGCTACCTGCCGCCCAATATAATAATGATAATTCCCTTCTCCCGGCTGCAGTGCTCCGAAGCACCTCTCACTTACATGACTCGCTCAGATGTAGCCAATGCCTGTCACGTGATCGGGTCCATCTCACAGGCATTTCAGCTAAGAAGTAGGCTACAAGTGAATGAAGACAGACGCATCTGGACGCAACTGCGCGCGTCTCTCTTATCGAATTCCGAGGCGCATATTGAAGACGTTAGAACTGTCCAGGTTTTACCCTACTTTTCATCAGCCAACAAGCTGAGTCGGCCTAATGAACAGCAAAAGCACTAGCCTATATCAATCCACTATCCTCCATAGTACAAAGGTTGACCTATTCTATTGGTCAACTTCTCCTTCTGTGTAATAAATAAATATTCCAAACATACTCTGGGACGGTTGTGGGATGCGACAGATCCCAAATTAATACAACCACTCGAATCAAAAAACCTTTAAAAAAGCAATGAGGCTGATGCAACAGATCAGAACATTTAGCGTAAAATGTTGATAAACTATTAGCCTATTTATAAGTGCAGCGGCAGTAAGCTACAATTAGCTTGAAAACACTGTTCCTCGAAAAGTATGACTGCAAATGCGCTTATGCATGTAAAGCTTTATTAAAAAGGTGCATTTTTTATGGTGAAAATTATCTTCCCCAAACTTGAAACTCATGTGCAGCCTATGTATGCCAGTTAGGCTCTACACCTGTTGTAAAGCGGATTAATGTGCTTCATTTTAAAGGAGTTATTTGACCACTTTAGTTGTGATTCAAACCTTATCAAAACATATAGGCCTATGGGCAAGGCTACATGAGGTGTGCGACTATGATTTGAAAAAGTCGCAAAAAAAGGCATGCGCTGTTGCTTGCACAAACTGGGCATCATTCACAAGTGATAATACATAATCCACAAGTGATAGGCTAATATTGTCACCCATCAGACAATTATTAATTTAATGTCGTCTTTACATATACTAAATAATACAGTGCCTTGCTCAAGTATTCATCCCCCTTGGCGTTTTTCCTATTTTGTTGTATTACAACCTGTAATTTAAATGGATTTTTATTTGGATTTCATGTAATGGACATACACAAAATAGTCCAAATTGGTGAAGTGAAATAAAATAAATAGTTTAAAAAATTTCTACAAAATAAGTAATGGGAAAGTGGTGCATGCATATGTATTCACCCCCTTTGCTATGAAGCCCCTAAATAAGATCTGGTGCAACCAATTACCGTCAGAAGTCACATAATTAGTTAAATAAAGTTCACCTGTGTACAATCTAAGTGTCACATGATCTCAGTATATATACACCTGTTCTGAAAGGCCCTAGAGTCTGCAACACCACTAAGCAAGGGGAACCACCAAGCAAGCGGCACCATGAAGACCAAGGAGCTCTCCAAACAGGTCAGGGACAAAGTTGTGGAGAAGTACAGATCAGGGTTGGGTTATAAAAAAATATCAGAAACTTTGAACATCCCACGGAGCACCATTAAATCCATTATTAAAAAATGGAAAGAATATGGCACCACAACAAACCTGCCAAGAGAGGGCCGCCCACCAAAACTCACAGACCAGGCAAGGAGGGAATTAATCAGAGAGGCAACAAAGAGACCAAAGATAACCCTGAAGGAGCTGCAAAGCTCCACTGCGGAGATTGGAGTATCTGTCCATAGGACCACTTTAAGCCGTACACTCCACAGAGTTGTTGAGAGAGCTGGGCTTTACTGAAGAGTGGCCAGAAAAAGCCATTGCTTAAAGAAAAAAATAAGCAAACACGTTTGGTGTTCGCCAAAAGGCATGTGGGAGACTACCCAAACATATGGAAGAAGGTACTCTGGTCAGATGAGACTAAAAGTGAGCTTTTTGGCCATCAAGGAAAACGCTATGTCTGGCGCAAATCCATCACCTCTCATCACCCCGAGAACACCATCCCCACAGTGAAGCATGGTGGTGGCAGCATCATGCTGTGGGGGTGTTTTTCCATCGGCATGGACTGGGAAACTGGTCAGAATTGAAGGAATGATGGATGGCGTTAAATACAGGGAAATTCTTGAGGGAAACCTGTTTCAGTCTTCCAGAGATTTGAGACTGGGACGGAGGTTCACCTTCCAGCATGACAATGACCCTAAGCATACTGCTAAAGCAACACTCTAGTGGTTTAAGGGGAAACATTTAAATGTCTTGGAATGGCCTAGTCAAAGCCCAGACCTCAATCCAATTGAGAATCTGTGGTATGACTTAAAGATTGCTGAACACCAGCGGAACCCTTCCAACTTGAAGAATCTGGAGCAGTTTTGCCTTGAAGAATGGGCAAAAATCCCAGTGGCTAGATGTGCCAAGCTTATAGAGACATACCCCAAGAGACTTGCAGCTGTAATTGCTGCAAAAGGTGGCTCTACAAAGTATTGACTTTGGGGGGGTGAATAGTTATGCACGCTAAAGTTCTGTTTTTTTGTCTTATTTCTTATTTGTTTCACCCAAAATATATTTTGCATCTTCAAAGTGGTAGGCATGTTGTGTAAATCAAATGATACAAACCCCCTGAAAATAAATTTTCATTCCAGGTTGTAAGGCAACAAAATAGGAAAAATGCCAAGGGGGGTGAATACTTTTCGCAAGCCACTGTATGTGTGAAATTAGTTTTGATTTAGAATGGACCATTATCATGCTCCTGTCTCAGAACAGGGGCGTGGGGAAAGAAATGTGTAAACTAAATAGCGAATGGAAGACGCGTCATTTTCACGCCAGACAGGTAGACTCCTGTTGTAAAGCGAAGCAATGTGCTTAATATTAGGAAAGTTGATAAACAGTAGGCCTAGCCTATAAAAATGTTGCGCAACATGAGCTCATGGGCTCTCATGAAGTGTTTGATTAGATTTTTGATTACATTTGCATTGATGTCAGAGTGATTAGAGGGACAATAGAGTGCTGAGTATCAGGCAGTTAGCGAGTTTGGTAGGCTACTAATGACCATCAGCAGCATCAGAGCTTGGAGAAGCCTAGTTACCGTGACTAAACGGTCACATGGAATTTGACTGGCATAATGAGGTTATTATTACCGGTGTGGCGGTAATACGGTCACCGTAACAGCCCTAGGAGAGAGAGAGGGGGGGGGGAGAGAAACAGGCTGGCAGGCAGACAGACAGACAGGTCTTACCTTGGCCTCCCTGGAGGTTTTAGTCATGTTGACAAACATCTGTCCCACCTCTCTGTCGAAGACCCTCACCCTGTCCCAGTCCAGAGTCAGAGGAGACTCTTTCCCTTTGAAAACCTACAGAACAACATTCAGTTCATTACATTAGATTAATGGCTCTTTGAGCACCTGTTTGGTTCTGTGAGTATCCGAGGTCATCTTTGGGTGTTGTTGTCATTTTTTAGTTGAAGGCTCAGGATATAAAATGTTTTTGTTATATATATATATATATATATATATATTTATTTTTGTTTTATATCTTTTTTTTAACCCCTTTTTCTCCCAGTGGTAGTTACAGTCTTGTCCCATTGCTGCAACGCCCGTACAGACTCGGGAGAGGTGAAGGTCGGGAGCCGTGCGTCCTCCGAAACACAACCCAGCCGAGCTGCCCGCTTAACCCGGACGCCGCACCAATGTGTCGGAGGAAACACCTGGCAACCGTGTCAGCGTGCACTGCGCCCGGCCCGCCACAGGAGTCACTAGTGCACGATGGGACAAGAACATCCCTGCCGGCCAAACCCTCCCCTACCCTGGACGACGCTGGGCCAATTGTGCGCCGCCCCATGGGTCTCCCAGTCACGGCAGGCTGTGACAGAGCCTGGACTCTAACCAGGATCTCTAGTGGCACAGCGCCACTCGGGAGGCCCAGGATATAAAATGTTTACCCAAAGAAGCACCCCATTCCCACATCAAACCTCTGACAGGCTTTTAGGCATAAAGAAGCACCCCATTCCCACATCAAACCTCTGACAGGCTTTTAGGGGGAGCTCACCTTAGCCTGTATGACAATGGAGGCTGGTGGGAGAAGCTAAAGGAGGACAGGCTCATTGTAATGGCTGAAATGGAATGAATGGAACGGAGTCAAACATGTGGTTTCAATTTATTCCATTCCAGCCATTACAATGGGCACATCCTCCTATAGCTCCACCCACCAGCCTCCACTGCTGTAACACCCAGTAGGTCTCTGGTTTGAATGACTGGATCTAGGGTCGAGGTTAGGGTCAGGGTGAGCCTTAAAGGGATACTTCTGGATTTTTATTTTTATTTTACATACAAATGGTATCCACAAGTAGATAAAGGGCCTCATTGCCAAAATCCCGACGTATCCCTTTAAGGCTAGGTTTAGGGTTTGGGGCTCACCTTAGCCTGTATGACCCAGTAGGTCTCTGGTTTGAAGGACTGGATCTTGTCGTGGCGCTCCACACAGAAGCCCAGTGTGGGGGTCTGACATGGCCCAAAGGAGATCAGGGATGAGTCCAGGTTCCCATATTTACCCTGGAAGTACTTGGTCTGGAACCTGAACACATTCCAACGAGAGGACAGCACTACTGGCATCAGCACAGGTGACACAATAATAACCTCAACATTGGCTGAAATTTTAAAAATCAGCAAAACTCTGTGGCTCTTTCAAAATAAAAGTTCTCTCTCCTCGCCTTCATTGCACTTATCTAAAATAACTGACCAGGTGAAAGCCAGCCTGATGATGAGAAGTGACCAGATGAAAGCTAGTCTAATGAGCATCTACCATGTTGTAGGGTAGGGTAGTGTAGGTTAGCTTAGTGTAGTGTAGGGTAGGGTAGGTTAGCTAGGCGTAGTGTAGTGTAGGGTAGTGTAGGTTAGCTTAGTGTAGTGTAGGGTAGGGTAGTGTAGGTTAGGTTAGCTTAGTGTAGTGTAGGGTAGGGTAGGGTAGTGTAGGTTAGCTTAGTGTAGTGTAGGGTAGGGTAGTGTAGGGTTAGGTTAGCTTAGTGTAGTGTAGGGTAGGGTAGTGTAGGTTAGGTTAGCTTAGTGTAGTGTAGGGTAGGGTAGTGTAGGTTAGGTTAGCTTAGTGTAGTGTAGGGTAGGGTAGGGTAGTGTAGGTTAGCTTAGTGTAGTGTAGGGTAGGGTAGGTTAGCTAGGCGTAGCGTAGTGTAGGGTAGTGTAGGTTAGCTTAGTGTAGTGTAGGGTAGGGTAGTGTAGGTTAGGTTAGCTTAGTGTAGTGTAGGGTAGGGTAGGGTAGTGTAGGTTAGTCTATGTAGGGTAGGGTAGTGTAGGTTAGGTAGTAGTGTAGGTAGGGTAGGTAGGTTAGGTTAGCTTAGTGTGTAGTGTAGGGTAGTGTAGGTTAAGGTTGTAGGTAGCTTAGTGTAGTGTAGGTGTAGTGTTTAAATGTAGGTTAGCTTAGTGGTAGTGTAGTTGTAGGGTTAGTGTAGGTTAGCTAGTGTAGTGTAGGGTAGTAGGTTTGGTTTAGCTTAGTGTAGTGTAGGGTAGGGTAGTGTAGGTTAGCTTAGTGTGTGTAGTGTAGGGTAGTGTAGGTTAGGTTAGCTTAGTGTAGGGTGAGAGGTAGTTGTAGGTTAGCTTAGTGTAGTGTAGGGTAGGTAGTGTAGGTTAGGTAGCTTAGTGTAGTAGGGTAGTGTAGGTAGGTTAGCTAGTGTGTAGTTAGGTAGGTAGTGTAGGTGTCAGTGTAGTGTAGTAGTATTGTAGTTTAGGGTTGGTTAGGTTAGCTGTTAGTGTAGGTAGGTTAGCTGGTAGTGTAGTGTAGGGAGTGTAGTACTTAGTGTAGTGTAGTGTAGGGTAGTGTAGGTTGCTTAGTGTAGTGTAGTGTAGGGTAGTGTAGGTTAGCTTAGTGTAGTGTAGGGTAGTGTAGGTTAGCTTAGTGTAGGGTAGTGTAGGTTAGCTTAGTGTAGTGTATGTGTAGGGTAGTGTAGGTAGCTTAGTGTAGTGTAGTGTTAGGGTAGGGTAGTGTAGGTTAGCTTAGTGTAGTGTAGTGTAGGGTAGTGTAGGTTAGGTTAGCTTAGTGTAGTGTAGGGTAGTGTAGGTTAGCTTAGTGTAGTGTAGTGTAGGGTAGTGTAGGTTAGCTTAGTGTAGTGTAGTGTAGGGTAGTGTAGGTTAGCTTAGTGTAGTGTAGTGTAGGGTAGTGTAGGTTAGCTTAGTGTAGTGTAGGGTAGAGTAGGGTAGTGCAATGCAATGTTTCCTCTGAAAAAAATTAAGGTCTGCTGAGCGCAAACCTGAACAATGTGAAAATGTTGTGCAACTTCCAGCGCACGTTTGCTGTGAACACTGAGGCTGTACCCCCTTTAAGTTCCAGTTTTAACATTGGCCCAGTAGGCTACTGTGGCTATTTGATCCTAATGTAGGCCTACCAGAGTGGCCTACCATCAAAAACTATGGAGAAAATGCATCCCTTAACATTTTAACATGGAAATAGCTGTTCTATCATTCAGTCTACAGTGGCAGCCAATGTGTGGTGTTCAATGTAGGCCTACATTCCATGAGACGTTTGAAAAAAACATGCAGGGCTTGACATTAACCTGTTTATCCACTTGTCCTTCAGACAAGGAGGTGACTGAAAATGTTGTTGTGTTGTTTGATGCAAGAAAACACTTTACAAAATAAAATGCATTATTATTCCCATACCATTATTACAGATAATCAGACAAACTATGCTACCCTCTGCCTATTGGCTACTTAGCTTATTCAAGCCTGTCTCAAAATACAACACTGCCCCGTTAAGAAAAAAAAAAAGAACCTCTTTACCTGACTCGCTTTTCAAAGAGGTCTAGAAATGTACACGTGTTGTGCTCTTGTAGGAAGCAAATCACTCCTCTATTGCTGACTACAAATGATCTATAACTTGGCTAATAACTCACTAACTAGCAAAGGATATGAACAAATGTTCACACGTGGCGACATGCTGCTCTCACTTTGATCTCAAAACAAGCACATCTACTCACGACCGCTCATGCTGTAAACACAGTCCAGTTCAAAGTAAACGGCACTGATCCATATATGGCAATGGTCTATTTGCATATAGGCCTACTGCAGCTCTGATTGGTTATGCCACACCAGTCTGTGTAGAGTAGGGCTGAGTAGTGCGTGTCAATGCAATAGAATCCTACTCCGATGCGTTCTGCCTACAACAAAATGTCTTGCATAGTTTGTTTTGCATACTAAGTCTTGTATAGTTCGTTTTGTTTCGGTATGTTGTATTGAAAGTGGCTAATACTGCGTTGATTCGATCACAATTCCCACAGTTAAGGGAAATGTTGATAGTGTTAACTAACAGGGAAAACTCTAGAAAGTTGAGTGAAGTTCAATCTCGTGCTTCTCTGCGCGCCGGCTGGTATTTCTTCATTTCATTGATTTTAATTTAAGTCATTTTAGCAGACGCTCTTATCCAGAGCGACTTACAGTTAGTGAGTGCAGACATGTTTTTTTCATACTGGCCCCCTGTGGGAAACTTCTGCACGGCAGTCCGGGGGAACATTGGTGTAGGGTATTATAGTGTAGGGTAGGGTAGTGTAGTCTAGGGTAGTATAGTGTAGTCTGTAGGGTAGTCTAGGGTAGGGTAGTCTAGGGTAGGGTAGTATAGTCTAGGGTAGGTAGTGATTAGGGTATGTAGGTAGTCTAGGGTAGGGTAGTGGTAGATCTAGGGTAGTAGTAGGGAGTAGAGGGTAGGGTAGTGTAGTCTAGGGTGGTATTAGGGTAGGGTGTATAGTAGTCTAGGGTAGGTGTAGTGTAGTCTAGGTTAGGGTAGTGTAGTCTGGGTAGTGTAGTAGGGTAGGTGTATAGTCAATAGGGTAGGGGTAAGTGGTAGTCTAGGGTGGGTGTTAGTAGTAGTCTAGGGGGTAGGTAGTCTATAGTGGGTATAGTGTAGGGTAGTTAGGGTAGGTAGTCTAGGGTAGGGTAGTATAGTGTAGTCTAGGGTAGTATATGGTAGGGTAGTGTAGTCTAGGGTAGTATAGTGTAGTCTAGGGTAGGGTAGTCTAGGGTAGGGAAGTGTAGTCTAGGGTAGGGTAGTGTAGGGTAGGGTAGGTTAGTAGTAGGTAGTGTAGTCTAGGGTGGTAGTTATAGTAGGTAGGTGTGTAGGTAGAGTGTAGTCAGGTATCGGGTAGGGTTTAAATGTAGTCTAGGTAGGGTAGGGTAGTCTAGGGTGTAGGGTAGTTGGTAGATAGTCTAGGGTAGGGTAGTACTAGGGTAGTGTAGGTATATAGGTAGGGTAGTGTAGTCTAGGGTAGGGTAGTGTAGTCTAGGGTAGGGTAGTGTAGTCTAGGGTAGGGAAGTGTAGTCTAGGGTATTATAGTCTAGGGTAGGGTAGTGTAGTCTAGGGTAGGTTAGGGTAGTCTAGGGTAGTCTAGGGTAGGATAGTGTAGTCTAGGGTAGGGTATATAGTGTAGTCTAGGGTAGGGTAGTGTAGTCTAGGGTAGGGTAGTCTAGGGTAGGGTAGTGTAGTCTAGGGGGGTAGTCTAGGGTAGGGTAGTGTAGTCTAGGGTAGGTGTAGTTTTAGTATAGGTTAGGTAGTTATAGTTAGGTAGGGATGTAGTCAGGGTAGGGTAGTGTAGTCTAGGGTAGTTTATAGTGGTAGTCTAGGGTAGGTGTAGTCTAGGGTAGGGTAGTGTAGTCTAGGGTAGGTGTATAGTGTAGTTAGTGTAGTTAGGGTAGGTGTAGTCTAGGTAAGTTAGGTAGGTCTAGGGTTTAGGGTATGTTAGTTAGTGGGTAGTCTAGGGTAGGGTAGTGTAGTCTAGGGTAGGTAGTTAGGGTGGAAGTGTAGTCTAGGGTAGGTGTTAGTAGTAGGTAGTCTAGGGTAGGGTAGTGTAGTCTAGGGTAGGGTAGTTACTAGGGTAGGGTAGGTAGTAGGTAGGTAGTCTAGGGTAGGGTTAGTGTAGTCTAGGGTAGGGTGTTATGGTAGTCTAGGTAGTCTAGGTGGGTAGTTAGTGTAGTTAGGGTAGGTAGTTAGTGTAGTCTAGGGTAGGGTAGTTAGGGTAGGGTAGTGTAGTCTAGGGTAGGGTAGTCTAGGGTAGGGTAGTGTAGTCTAGGGGTAGGGTAGTGTAGTTAGGTAGGGTAGTAGTTAGGGTTGTGTAGTTAGTAGGGTAGTGTGTAATTGTAGTTAGGTTAGGGTATAGTAGGTAATTAGTGTAGTTAGGGTAGGTGTAGTCTAGGGTAGGATAGTTGTAGTCTAGGGTTTAGGTTGTAGTCTAGGGTATGGGTAGTGTAGTCTAGGGTAGGTGTAGTGTAGTGTAGGGTAGTGTATCTAGGGGGTGTAGTCTAGGGTAGGGTAGTTAGGGTAGGGTAGTTAGTGTGTCTAGGGTGGTAGTGTAGTTAGTGGTAGGGTAGTGTTTGTGGTAGTGGTAGTGTGTCTAGTGGTAGTGTAGGTATGTGTAGTGTGCGTTGTGTAGGGTAGTTTAGTGTAGTTGGTAGGTGTGTCGTAGGGTAGTTAGTGTGTCTAGGGTAGGGTAGTGTAGTGTAGGGTTGTGGTAGGGTAGTGTAGGGTAGGGATAGTTGTAGGTCTGGGTATGTATAGTGTAGTCTAGGGTAGGGTAGTGTAGGTGTGTAGGGTAGTGTAGTGTAGGGTTGTGGTAGTTGTAGGGGTTTGTAGTGTAGGGGTGGTGGGTTGTGTAGGTGTAGGGTGTGTAGTGGTAGTGTAGTTTGGGTGTATGTGTAGTTGGTTGTGTGTAGTGGTTGTGGTAGGGTGTAGTGTAGTGGTTGTGTAGGTGTTGGTTGTCGGGTTGTGATGGTGGGTGGTATGTAGTCGTAGGGTAGGGTAGTGTTGCTAGGGTGGTGTGTTGTTTGGTAGTGTGTGTAGTGTGGGTGTAGGGGGTAGTGTAGGTAGGTGTGTAGTCGTGGTAGGGTGTGTGTGTGTCAGGTGTAGGGTAGTGTAGGGTGTGTGGTAGTGTAGTGTAGTGGGTGTGTGTGTGTAGTGGTAGGGTGTGTGTGGTGAGTGGTAGTGTAGTTGGTGTGGTAGTTGTAGGGTGTGGTAGGGTATGGTGTTAGTGTCGTGTGTAGGTTGTAGTTGTGGTATGTAGAGAGAGGGAGGGGCCAGCAGTGGAGAGGGTGGGTTCAGATCAGTAGTGGAGAGGGTGGGTTCAGATCAGTAGTGGAGAGGGTGGGTTCAGATCAGTAGTGGAGAGGGTGGGTTCAGATCAGTAGTGGAGAGGGTGGGTTCAGATCAGTAGTGGAGAGGGTGGGTTCAGATCAGTAGTGGAGAGGGTGGGTTCAGATCAGTAGTGGAGAGGGTGGGTTCAGATTAGTAGTGGAGAGGGTGGGTTCAGATCAGTAGTGGAGAGGGTGGGTTCAGATCAGTAGTGGAGAGGGTGGGTTCAGATTAGTAGTGGAGAGGGTGTGGCCAGTAGTGGAGAGGGTGGGTTCAGATTAGTAGTGGAGAGGGTGGGTTCAGATCAGTAGTGGAGAGGGTGTGGCCAGTAGTGGAGAGGGTGGGTTCAGATCAGTAGTGGAGAGGGTGGGTTCAGATCAGTAGTGGAGAGGGTGGGTGCAGATCAGTAGTGGAGAGGGTGGGTTCAGATCAGTAGTGGAGAGGGTGGGTTCAGATCAGTAGTGGAGAGGGTGGGTTCAGATCAGTAGTGGAAAGGGTGGGTTCAGATCAGTAGTGGAGAGGGTGTGGCCAGTAGTGGAGAGGGTGGGTTCAGATCAGTAGTGGAGAGGGTGGGTTCAGATCAGTAGTGGAGAGGGTGGGTTCAGATCAGTAGTGGAGAGGGTGGGTTCAGATCAGTAGTGGAGAGGGTGGGTTCAGATCAGTAGTGGAAAGGGTGGGTTCAGATCAGTAGTGGAGAGGGTGGGTTCAGATCAGTAGTGGAGAGGGTGGGTTCAGATCAGTAGTGGAGAGGGTGGGTTCAGATCAGTTAGTGGAGAGGGTGGGTTTCAGATCAGTAGTGGGAGAGGGTTGGTTCAGATTCCTAGTAGTGGGAGAGGGTGGGGTTCAGATCAGTAGTGGGAGGGTGGGTTTCAGAGTCAGTAGTGGAGAGGGTGGGTTCAGATTCAGTAGTGCGAAGAGGGTGGGTTCAGATTCACGTAGAGTGGAGAGGGTGGGTTTTCAAGATCAGTAAGTTGGAAGGGTGGTGGTGTTTGAAGATTCAGTAGTGGCGAGGGTTGGGTTCTTCAAGGTCAGTAGTTGGAGAGGGGTGGGGTTTTCAGGATCAGTAGTGGAGACGGGTGTGGGTCCAGATCAGTAGTGGAGGGGTGGGTTTCAGATCAGTAGTGGAGACGGGTGGGTTCAGATTCAGTTAGTGGAGGGGGTGGGTTTTCAGATTCAGTAGTGGCGAGGGGTGGGGTTTCAGATCAGTAGTGGACGAGGGTGGGTGAAGATCAGTAGTGGAAGAGGGTGGGTTTCAGATCAGTAGTGGAGAGGTTGGGTTCAGGATCAGTAGTGGAGAGGGTGGGTTCAGATCAGTAGTGGAGGGGTGGTTCAAGAGAGGGGGGTCAGATCAGTAGTGGAGAGGGTGGGTTCAGATCCAGTAGTGAGAGGGTGGTCAGATCAGTAGTGGGGGGTGGGTTCAGATCAGTAGTGGAGAGGGTGGGTTCAGATCAGTAGTGGAGAGGGTGGGTTCAGATCAGTAGTGGAGAGGGTGGGTTCAGATCAGAGTGGAGAGGGTGGGTTCAGATCAGTATGGAGAGGGTGGTTCAGATCAGTAGTGGAGAGGTGGGTTCAGATCAGATGGAGTGGGAATGAGGGTTTGGGTTCAGATCAGACGTTATGGAAACGGGTGCGGATGTGAGACTTACAACATTGGGATTACCTCAAAGCAGATGTTCTCTCCCTCTTTGTCGCAGTCCAACCACAAAACCACGTAGTCACATCCCTTGGCTTCGACCTGGAGATAGATAGTGACAGAATGATTTTTTTTTTAAAGGAGACCAATCAACTGATATAGAGAGGGGGGGTTGGAACAGCTAAATGAACGATTGACAGGAAAATGAACCTGTTCCCAAAGGTCAAAACCCTTCAGATGTGACTAGAGACACAGACGAACCTGTAGGAACTTGACCATGTTGAGTTTGGGGTTGGCCTCCTTCTTCTCCGTAGGGGCTTTAGTGAAGAGTTCAGCTGGGTCCACCTTGTCCCAGTTATTATACTTCCCTGGAGACAGAACAGGGACCGGAGTTATCAAGTTATCCAACCAATGGGCCCACAGATTTGGGACAGATTGAATCCAGTCAAAACGTGTAGGATTTAGCCTAAATCAAGAAAAAAATCCCACCTATGAAATCCAGACTCATGACATGCCCACACACTGACGTCATCTTAAAGCGCACGCTCTGGCCTGAGAAGGTGCCCATGTACTCGTGGACCGAACATGCTCCGTTGAGACCTTTGCGACTGGAGCAGCTGCCTGGGTTAAGGAGAGAGACGAGAAGAGTTAGCCTAGATTAGGGTGCCATTTGGGATGCACACCCGGTCAACATTATAGGCTATATACACACTCCGAACCAACGGCCGAACATACAAAATACACCCTTCTATTCATTAGAAAAAAGGAAATGACATTGGGCGTCTCACAAATGGCACCCTATTCCCTATATAGTGCACTGCTTTTGACTCGGGGCCCATAGGAATCTGGTCAAAAGCAGTGCACTATATAGGGAGTAGGGTGCCATTTTGGACGCAAACCCTAGGCTACTTGACAAGGGTAGGTAAGGAGTGGGACTCTTCCCATCCATTTGAGACGGCCCTTGTTAAAATACCTTTTGTGGAACCATCTGGCCTTCAGGTGACAACACGGGAAGAGGAAAAGCTACCTAGCTGCTTCCTTGGACAAACCAATCAAATGTTGTCCTATTAAAATGTCATGACTCACTGTTAATACAGATTCTAACTTTTTCGGGAGGTTATTTCACACACAAAAAAAAACTGAACCTAATAGGATGATTCAACTCTTATGGAAAAGGATTTCCAAGTGTATCAAGGCTAAACTATAGTGGAAACTCTTCTCGTCTTCCCTGTCATGGGGCTTGTGCTACCTGAGCTAAACGCTACGTAGTGACCAAGTCAAGTTAATGACATGCCTCTCTCAAGGCTGAATGCTAATGGGGTACACGCATGGTAAAGACCATAGTAATGAGAGGGACAGGGAGCCAGTGAATGAGTGACCCCCCCTCTACCCACCCATAGCTGTGACGCTGACTGCCCTCCAGGCCCCCCACATCCCCCCCTATCCATAGCTGTTACGCTGACTCCCTCCAGGCCCCCCCCCCCCCCCCACCCATAGCTTGACGCTGAACGCCCCCCCCACCCATAGCTGTGGACCGCTGACCCCCCCCCCCCCACCCCCAACCCCCACCCAATCTGTGACGCTTGACCCCACCCCACCCCCCACCCATACAATCCCAGATGCATAAATATGTCCCCGGTTCGAGACGATGGACATCAGCTCTGAGCGAACCAAAGGGTACCAATAGCCCCCAAAGAGAGGCGCACGCAGCCGAGACAAGAAAGGCTACAGAATCCCACAGCACAGCAGAGAGAAAGGCTACAGAATCCCACAGCAGCAGCCGATGAGAAAGCTACCAGAATCCCACAGCACAGCAGAGAGAAAGCTACAGAATCCCACAGCAGCAGCCGAGAGAAAGCTACAGAATCCCACAGCAAAGCAGAGAGAAAGCTACAGAATCCCACAGCAGCAGCCGAGAGAAAGCTACAGAATCCCACAGCACAGCAGAGAGAAAGCTACAGAATCCCACAGCAGCAGAGAGAAGGCTACAGAATCCCACAGCAGCAGCCGAGAGAAAGCTACAGAATCCCACAGCACAGCAGAGAGAAGGCTACAGAATCCCACAGCAGCAGCCGAGAGAAAGCTACAGAATCCCACAGCACAGCAGAGAGAAAGCTACAGAATCCCACAGCACAGCCGAGAGAAAGCTACAGAATCCCACAGCACAGCAGAGACAGAAAGCTACAGAATCCCACAGCACAGCAGAGAGAAAGCTACAGAATCCCACAGCACAGCAGAGACAGAAAGCTACAGAATCCCACAGCAGCAGCCGAGAGAAAGCTACAGAATCCCACAGCAGCAGCAGAGACAGAAACAGACTCCAGAACCGGAAGCCAGAACTTCCAGAACTCAACATGCAACAGCTCCAGGTGAGATAGAAGTTTCTGTTGTTATTGATCTGTTTGTAACTAGCCAGTGGTACTGTCCAGGGGATGCTTGATGAGGGGCTAGGGACTAGAGACAACTTTCACTATGAATGTTGAATGCTCTTGATTGCCATTGGCTATTACTATGTAGTGGGGCTTCGGCTTTATGTAAAGACAGACTATGTGCTTTGATTGTGTATATTCCTCCTATAAAGTTGGAATTGCTATCAGGCTAATTCTTATAGCAGAGTATGAGCTACTGACTGACCGGCTGAGGATTTTTTTTAATGGAAGGTCAAACCGTCAAATTAATTGTTTGTTTGAGTTTTCATTCGAATGGTTTTATGGTACAGGAGTTGAATGTAGCTAGGGATTTTCTGGCATTTGGACAAATTCCTTTTAACAGTTTAAAGAGCTGGTTAAAAAAATACATTTCATTTAAGCTAAGGCTAGTTGTTGTATTTAGTTGCACAGATGTAATGTTCACTCCCTGGTGTTTTACTCAGCTTCAGCTGCCAGTAGCCTAATGACAGGACATTATGTAATTAAACCAGGGACAGTAAATCCCTGGGTTTAACAATGATATTCAACCCCCTTGTGTTGTGTTTTCCGTGTTCGGCTCCAGCTCAACATTGATACTCAACGCTCTGTGTTTTCTCCCTTGGTGTGTTTTCCTACGCAGCTCCTGCGTCTGCTGCTCCTGCGCTTGCTGGGTCACTGCCTGTGTGTTCCCCTGGGTCACTGCCTGTGTGTTCCCCTGGGTCACTGCCTGTGTGTTCCCCTGGGTCACTGCCTGTGTGCTTCCTGGGTCACTGCCTGTGTGCTTCCTGGGTCACTGCCTGTGTGTGCCCCTGGGTGGCCAGTGTGTGGACAAGAGCTTCTGCACTAGCAGCCTGGAGGAGTACCACGCACAGCTAGCAGCCTGGAGGAGTACCACGCACAGCTAGCAGCCTGGAGGAGTACCACGCACGGCTAGCAGCTAGCAGCCTGGAGGAGTACCACGCACAGCTAGCAGCTAGCAGCCTGGAGGAGTACCACGCACAGCTAGCAGCTAGCAGCCTGGAGGAGTACCACACACGGCTAGCAGCTAGCAGCCTGGAGGAGTACCACGCACAGCTAGCAGCCTGGAGGAGTACCACGCACAGCTAGTCAGCCTGGAGGAGTACCACCACGCACAGCTAGCAAGCTAGCAGCCTGGAGGAGTACCACCACAGCTAGTCAGCTAGCAGCCTGGAGGAGTACCACCACAGCTAGCAGCTAGCAGCCTGGAGGAGTACCACCCCACAGCTAGTCAGCCTGGAGGAGTCCACCACGCTAGCTAGCACTGGAGGAGTACCACCCACAGCTAGTCAGCCTGGAGGAGTACCACGCACGGCTAGTCAGCCTGGAGGAGTACCACGCACGGCTAGTCAGCCTGGAGGAGTACCACGCACGGCTAGTCAGCCTGGAGGAGTACCACGCACGGCTAGTCAGCCTGGAGGAGTACCACGCACGGCTAGTCAGCCTGGAGGAGTACCACGCACAGCTAGCAGCCTGGAGGAGTCCACTGCACGGCTAGTCAGCCTGGAGGAGTACCACGCACAGCTAGCAGCCTGGAGGAGTACCACGCACAGCTAGCAGCCTGGAGGAGTACCACGCACAGCTAGCAGCTAGCAGCCTGGAGGAGTACCACACACGGCTAGCAGCTAGCAGCCTGGAGGAGTACCACACACGGCTAGCAGCTAGCAGCCTGGAGGAGTACCACGCACAGCTAGCAGCCTGGAGGAGTACCACGCACAGCTAGCAGCCTGGAGGAGTACCACGCACAGCTAGCAGCTAGCAGCCTGGAGGAGTACCACGCACAGCTAGTCAGCCTGGAGGAGTCCCACGCACGGCTAGTCAGCCTGGAGGAGTACCACGCACGGCTAGTCAGCCTGGAGGAGTACCACGCACGGCTAGTCAGCCTGGAGGAGTACCACGCACGGCTAGTCAGCCTGGAGGAGTACCACGCACGGCTAGTCAGCCTGGAGGAGTACCACGCACGGCTAGTCAGCCTGGAGGAGTACCCACGCACGGCTAGTCAGCCTGGAGGAGTACCACGCACAGCTAGCAGCCTGGAGGAGTCCCACGCACGGCTAGTCAGCCTGCCCAACCGCCTCAACGAACGCAGTGTAGCCGCCTGGACCTACGTGTGAGTACCTTTACCAGATGGATGGATTGGAAGGAATGTATTACACTATTAAAATCCATGTACAGCCACACACTTATGGAGTGCTAATCACCATTGCAGCCTTGCTTACTAGGCTTCTGAGACTGTGTGCAATGCATGTTTCCTTTCTAGGATATAAAATGTATGTATTTTTTCAAGGAAGTATTTTGTGACTTTTGGTTCTGAGTCTGATTATCTTGTTTTCTCTTCCTCCTTCTAGACAAAACATCGACTTGAACCGGGTTCCTCAGGTCCTGTATGAAGCCAAGTGCCTTGAAAGCCACTCCTGTAAGGGTTTGGACAGCACCCCCAGCCTGGAGACAATCCCCATCACCCTCAGGATGCCCGTGTTGAGGAAAACCCCCCAACTGTGCCTCCTTCTCCCTGGAGTTCGAGCCCATCAATATAGCCTGTATATGCGCCACTTCCAGACAAAGCTGATTTCGAACTGCTCGATTGTAAATTAAAGTATTTATTTATTTTGGTTATAAATGTTGAGGCTATAAATGAGATTTAATGTGTGTTTTGAATGTTTTTTTTTGACATAAGGGTAAAGATGTATTATTATTGTTATTATTGACATCACTCAGTCTAAGTTCAAACTCATGTTAGTTGTTTGCTATAAATGACATTGAAAATATCTTGGTCATTGGTCAAGAATAAATCAAATGTTCACTTACCATCTGCTTAAAGCTTAAAACAGTAAATAAACTCATTTTACAGCACAAAACAACGTGTTTCTCTGTTGCTTTACATGGAGTTAATCATATTAGATATGGAGTTACTCACAAGGTTAAAGATAACGAACTACTTCTGCTGGCTTTTCCCTGATAAATGGCTGTTGATTCCTAGCTTGCTAGGTGTTTACAATAAGGAAGTTAGCTAGCTAACTAGTTGCTTTAACATAGTAAGCATTAGAGATCACTTACCTTTAGATAGGATTTTGGCAATTGACTGAGCTAACGACGGCTTCTCCGCTACCATCAAAACTGTCTTCATGACTGGAAACTGCACAGCGACACTAGCTAGCCGGCTGAGAACAAATAGCTGCTATTTACAAAATGTAAATAACAATATTCTATTTAGATGTGATTACAATAATGGAACTCGTGAATACAAGTTATAAGAAGCATAAATGCCATGGAAAAGCTAATTATCAAGTTAGTGGCTGGCACAAAAGAAACACAATGCCGCCATGACAGTTTCTAGATGCTCTTCCAGGTGAAAGTGTAACGTGACCGGAAGTAGATCCGAAATATTGGTGAATTGAGTATCGGCACAGAGAGACTTTGGTATCGGTCTGCAGAGCTGCCAGCTCTCACGCATTTGACCCTATTCTCACGCTCACACGGCTTATATCTCACGCTTTGAAAAGTACTGTTTTTATTTTTCTAATTAGTCCATTGTATAGTCAGTGCGTTAACTTTTCAACTGTACTCCAAATCGTTTCGAATTCAGAGCATCTGCGACTGCAATTTAACATCATGAGCGGAACCTCTATCATTGCGCCTGGCTTGCCACAGCACTGTGAACCCCCGTCACATTGAAGCATATGATTGGTCTAGTTATGTAAGGGATCAAGGGGATTGGATGCATTTTCTTAAAGAAACGCCCCTCAAAATTAGAGTGGCGCTGAATGGAGAGCGAGAACGTTCTCCGCTGAGTTTATAAAACTGTAAAAAGAGCCGCATGGTAGCGCTGTTTTATGTACAAAGTTATCAGCAAAATGAGGTTGCTGTTACACCCGTCCCTATTGCAGAATGCAGCCTTTTGACAGCAAGTACTAAAATCGATTTAATCCACGCTTGCATTAGTCCCCTCGTTTGGTGATTGGAATGTAGGTTGTGACAACGAAAAAACAGCAGAGCCCTAAATACAGTATGTTGCGGGAAAGTTTGGTAGGGTGACCTGATTTGTAACTATGAAAATAATTTTGTCGAACAGATTGTGAACCCAAAAGTGTACTTTTTTGATTCTAGAGGGGGAACAAAACATCGGGGAAAAAATGTGGTTAGTTGGGGCAAATTTATGCCATCTTTCTTCAGGAGATTTAATCTATTTTCTTTATTTAGTCTGATCAGTGGAACAATTCTCATTCTTAACAATGGGCTAAAACATAGAGTAATTACTGTTCTTTTCTGCAAGAACACTACAGTTATTCCCCACACTTATTTTATATTCCACTTCTTCACAATTCTTCCAGTGTTATCACATATTGAAATCTGATATGCCTACTTGTGTCTTTGAAAATGAATGATATGAGGCTATGTATTTTTTCAGCCATTCATGGACAGTTTTGAATAAGTCATACAAATAAGCATTGGATATTAAATGCTCCAGGAATCAAATATAATTTTTGACATTTTAGTATTTTGCACATGCTAGGGAGAGATGGTAGGGGGACTCACAGCTCATAAACACATCATATTTTGTCTATGTAGAGTAAGATAATAGCAAGGATCTTCAACTGGCAGGCATAAACTACCTGAATATTGATATTCATTAGATTTTCATAAAGGTTGGGTGATTTTGTGAAATGAGTTGAACATTTTCAAACACCCAGCACTTGGGAAACTCAGGTGTGGCCAACGAAAAAGCAGTTTATCGACAAGGAGACTGCGATATATGATTTGGTTACCCACTGCCATCAACCATTAATATTAGTATTTCCTGTGGTGTAGTGGTAACACTCCCCGGCACGTGTCGCATACAACTTTCCACCTGAGAACAGGGGTCAATCCCTGCTTCCAACCTTCCCACAGTTTCTCCCATTTGCTTGTCTCCCTATCACATTTAATTACAGCCTGAATAAAGTGTCAAACCACCGGAAAACGATGTTAAAAACCATATTAGCATACTTTAAATTTCATCCCCCCCCCCCCCCCCCCAAATCTCAAAGTAACAAAGTCGTCGAATTTTGAGTGTTCATTTAATTTTCAAAGCATCCTGAATACAATAAATAAATAAAATCCACCCTGGTCATAGGCCTAAGCCATGTCAAAATACATAGAATTGCAGGAAATTAGCTTTAAAATAGTAACATTTTCCTGGGGGGAGGACCCCCAATCCCCCCCCCCCCCCCCCCCCCCGTTTAGGGGTTGTGCCAGGAGGCAATGAAATTCACATAGCAAATCTCACTCCAAGCTTTCTTCAAAAGTTGGCAGCCCTGGGTCTATGTTTCGTATGGAGATTGTTTAGGAAAGCTTTCTTTGCCATCTCTGGTAAGTATGTACTGTGTTATAAAAGCTCATACAGTGGTAACTAAAAGGAACAATGAGGTAAGCTACTTTGATCAATCATTTGCTATTAACGCAAAGGAGACTGTTGACACTTTAAACACGTTCCTAAAAAAAATAAATCCATAGGCTGGTAAAGTGTAGGACTCTACTGTGGTCCTCTGTAGCTCAGCTGGTAGAGCACGGCGCTTGTAACGCCAAGGTAGTGGGTTCGATCCCCGGGACCACCCATACATAAAAAATGTATGCACGCATGACCGTAAGTCGCTTTGGATAAAAGCGTCTGCTAAATGGCATATTATCATTATTACTACTGTAAATGGTACTGTGTAGAACTCTACTGTAAATGGGGTACTGTGTAGGACTCTACTGTAAATGGGGTACTGTGTA